CAAGAGCAATCCTAAATTGGCAGGCACACACATGCACGCACGCTCTCATACTGAGAAATAATCTACCATAGGGCTAATCTAGAAGGGAAAAAATAACAGAACACCACTTCTTTATTGCCTATCACTCCTAGGTGAAACCACTCAAACGTGTCATTAATGATCTACAGCCCACACCGTACAATGCTGCTTACCTGCCGTGTGCCCTGGGGGGTTGTTATTTCTAACAGAAAAGGCCCCCAAACTAAAATAGCTACTCTTCAGCATTAATGGGTCACATAGCAGGAAGACAGGGAGCAGGCCTTGCAACAAATCCAGATACAAACTATGTTCCCATATCTCATGAAAGTCCTGTGTATGTAACAGTTGTATTAGCAGGCAGAGATTTAACATGCTAGGGGATACTGAGCCAGGTGAATTTTTGCTTGTTACACATCTTACAAAAAAGCCCCTGGATTTAATAATGCTATCAGTCAGGATAACCTGTTTTGCTGTTTACAAATCAGCAAAATTATGAACAATGTAGCACCACCCTGAATAGCAGACAAAGCTGTATTTAGGGACGCGGGTGGCGCTGTGGGTTAAAGCCTCAGCGCCTAGGACTTGCCGATCGAAAGGTCGGCGGTTCGAATCCCCGCGGTGGGGTGCGCTCCCGTCGTTCGGTCCCAGCGCCTGCCAACCTAGCAGTTCGAAAGCACCCCCGGGTGCAAGTAGATAAATAGGGACCGCTTACTAGCGGGAAGGTAAACGGCGTTCCGTGTGCTGCGCTGGCTCACCAGATGCAGCTTTGTCACGCTGGCCACGTGACCCGGAAGTGTCTGCAGACAGCGCTGGCCCCCGGCCTATAGAGATGGGCGCACAACCCTAGAGTATGGGCAGGGGTACCTTTACCTTTACCTTTTATGTCCTGTGTAGGGTTAATTATCTAACCCACCCACCCCCCTTTTATGAGTCTTAGTGTTCTCTACTTGAAATGTGACTATGGAGATACAAATGTGATGTAGTTTTATTTAGTAAATATTTCCATATGCAACACTCACCAGTGGGCGTCAGACCCTACTTTCCCTCCTGTCTTCATGCATGAAGTGTTCAGCTGTATAGCAGGCAGAAGTTCAACATGCTGGACATTGTACCTGCTGAATTTTTGCTTATCACATGGTGGTAATTCAGAGACTAAAAACATAAGCTACCTGCCTGTACACCTGACCAAGTTTATTTTTTAACAGTGATATTGCATTGGGGTGATTGCTGCCTTTCCCTAGTGGCAGAATGGTCAGTCTGAAACCAACTCCCACCTTGTGGTAAAGGTAGAAAGTGCAACATAAAGAGTATTTTGGCCTCTGCAATATTGAAGAAGCAATACGACTACATTCCAGGGTCCAAAGGCTTCTCCAGTTACCCATTTATTCCATTTGCCACTGAATGCATGAAAGGTTGTTTTCTAATATAAAAAAATAGCGCTGAATGTGTGGGGCGTTATATGCTCTTTAGGAGCAGTGAATTACATAGGCATGGTTTTGATATGTGGATTCTGTCAAATGGAAGATGAAGATTTAGATTTTTGTTTAACAATTATAGCTCTACCTGTGCAAATCTGAGCAAGTCAAGAGAACAGACAGCATGAAACAGCTTACTTAAAAAAAAATGTTTAGCAGAAACCTAAAAAAAATACAGTGGTACCTCGCAAGACGAATGCCTCGCAAGACAGAAAACTCGCAAGACGAAAGGGTTTTTGGTTTTTTGAGTTGCTTCGCAAGACGATTTTCCCTATGGGCTTGCTTCGCAAGACAGAAACGTCTTGCAAGTTTGTTTCCTTTTTCTTAATATCGTTAATACAGTTGCGACTTGACTTCGAGGAGCAACTCATAGAACGCGGTGTGGTAGCCTTTTTTGAGGTTTTTAAAGACTTTGGTGATTTTTGAAGCTTTTCCAAAACTTTCCCGACACCGTGCTTCGCAAGACGAAAAAAAATCGCAAGACGACAAAACTCGCGGAACGAATTAATTTCGTCTTGCGAGGCACCACTGTAGTGAGCTCATTTTACCCTAACATAGAAACTAATCAAAATCAGTGTGCACACTTTAAAGATACATTGCCACAAAGGAAATAGGACAACACAAACACTATTATGCAATGCAGGGAGAATAATTAATTTTATAATGGAATGATTTTAGAATGTTGTATTATTTTATTGTTGTTAGCCGCCCTGAGCCCGGCTTTGGCTGGGGAGGGTGGGATATAAATAAAATTTATTATATTATTATTATTATTATTATTATTATTATTATTATTATTATTATATTAGAAAAGCTGTAAAACATAACTAAACCAGTATGTTTCCATCTTCCTTATAATACATATTAGTAATAACAACGAATGAAACCGCCATGGAGACTGAACACCTGAACACCTTTGCCACTGGATACTGAGACACAATTTTCCAAGGAAGTTTTCACCCTTATTTTAACTAGTAATCTGCATTTTCCTTACCACCATATAATACAAACAGTGCAAGTACAGCATGGTGTAAGGTTGGCATAGAGCATTAATGGTTGTTGCAGTACTGCAGCAAGGTAGTGAATGAATGGTTGCTGTATGAAATGGTAGTAATTAAAATGTACATCTTTCTCTGAGAAAAGTTCCACTTGGTCTGTACCATCTCACTGATACTAGGAGCTATACAGTGGGGAGAAAAAGAGACCATATGCTACTTGATTCCAATCAGCTGGTTAAGAAATTCAGATACTGAATTATTTTGACTAAAATATGCTACCAAAAATGTCATGCATATATATATATATATATATATATATATATATATATATATATATGTCTTAGACTTTTGTATTTCAAAATAGCCAGAGAACAATTTAGAGATATACGCAACGCATAAAACATCTGGCAATAGAAGGAAAAGGAAAAGGGGGGGGGGAGAAAAGAAATCTTCAAACATATGTACTGAAGGCCTTAGCTTTCTCCAAATAATTTAGATGGAAAGTTTCCCAAAACTAAAAAGGCAGGAAAAACATGAACATGTTTCAGTGGGTGTGAAAGCAAGGAGGGAATGGGAGATGAGTGGGAAAAGGCTTCTTCCAGCACTTTGGGTCACTAGAATTTTAAGCCTATAAGAGAAACATCTCAAAACCCACAGAAGGAAAAAGTACAGGTCGGTCGGTCAGAATCTGTCAACATGAAGTGGTTCAGAATCATTAGAAGCATAGCCTGTATCAAATGAAACATCTTTTCCAACATGAGTTTTTTTGGGGGGGACCTTGTTATTTGTGCATGAGGAAACCACTTTGGTTAGTTTGTTACCATTATAAGTGAACAAGGCAAAACAGACATGTACATTAACTTAACATACATGCATTGACACATACACTTTACCTGTACTGATGTTAGTGGAAAAGTAAGGCATTCTACATATCCCTTAGTAACCATATCAAGGGCTATTTCTAGAGTATTGCCTTTGTGGAGTACTGCTCAAATGCTAAACCATACTGACCATTTCTTTGAGTAAATGCTTTTTGCGGGGGGGGGGGACATCTGGGCTCCTACTATCAGTATAACAGCTACAGATGAAATATAACCAGACATGTAAATTGCAGGTTTGTTTACCTATCACTACTTTTCTTTGTTAGTGTGCTTTTGCAGTTACACCCATCTGTGTAAATGAATGCAGTACAATTAAAATATATACATATAACAATCACCTTTTTTTTTTTGCAGCAGTGATTGCAAGCTTTAAGTACATTTTATGGGCCCTTTCTTACAAAAAATAATAAAGAAAAAAGAGTAAATCAGCATTGATCTTAGAATTAGTATTTTGGACACAAAACCACATCAGTGGCGCTTATAAAAAGTCCTTGCTAGTAATAAAGGTAAAGGGGCCCCTGACAATTAGGTCCAGTTGCAGATGACTCTGGGGTTGTGGCACTCATCTCACTTTACTGGCCAAGGGAGCAGGTGTACAGCTTCCGGGTCATGTGGCCAGCATGACTAAGCCGCTTCTGGTGAACCAGAGCAGTGCACAGAAACACTGTTTACCTTCCCGCCAGAGTGGTCCCTATTTATATACTTGCACTTTGATGTGCTTTCGAACTGCTAGTTTGGCAGGAGCAGGGACCAAGCAACGGAAGCTCACTCCGTCACAGGGATTCGAACCCCCGGCCTTCTGATCGGCAAGCCCTAGGCTCTGGTTTAATTCACAGTGCCACCTGCATCCCTACCTGATGAATTTTTCTTCAGCAGGGTGTTCCATAGACAAGGGGCCACCACTGAGAAGGTCATTTCTCAGCATCTGGCAGGGGCAATCAGAAGAGGGCTTCCCTCAGGGATCTCAAAGCATGGCCAGGAACATACATGAAGAGGTGATTCTTCAAATACTGAGGCCCCAAGCCATGAAGGACTTTAAATGCCAAAGCCAGCACTTTGAATCAGGCTAGGAAATGTACTGGAAGCTAGAGAAGGTGATAAGAGTACTGGCATAATATGCTTGCATCAACATTCCCAGTCAGTAGCCTTTGCTGCCATATTCAGTACTTTTCCAGACATTTTCAAAGCTCAGTGTGCAACATGTTATTGGGTGAAATTCAGTACCGTACAAGTGGAGTTCTTCTTCCTCACCTCCCTCCTGTAGTCTTCATGCCTCCCTTCAAATCTCCCAAGTTTTCCAAATCTCTGAAATAGATCTTTTGGGGTTACAGAGTAGGGTTGGGGTAAAGCGGGCATGTGGAGAAGAAAGTGCAAATCCATTCTGCTTACACATGGACACCACTGGATACAACCAATCATAGCAATCTAACAGGTGGTCACTGGGGCACAGAACACAAGGACATTTCCAACTCACCTTTCTCATGCAAAATATTAATGTGTCAGGCCTAAGTGTTTTCCAATATAAAGTGGTGCATGTCTACCGCAATTTAAAACACTTGTAGTTTATTAGAACAGAAAAGTGAAGTGAGAGTTAAGAATTTATTATAAAATACATAGAACACACAGTATCTGTTGCTATTGACTCTTTTATTTAAGAGCAGATCAAAAATATGCCAAAGCTTTGGTTGTCTGGAATGATATGCACACTTAAATTATAACATTTTCTTATAGAAAAACAGTAAACATAACTTATACATTCAGAGGTGAGCAAGACAAACATTGTCCATATTATAAACTTACATTATAGATAATGAAATGTTTGCAATGAGAAGTTACGAATCTATTATATATTTGGTATCTTAAACCATACTTAAGAATTTATCATATGACCTCATATGAAATATGCACAGCAATGCAATGGCAAGTATAATTAGCAAATCCACTCTCATGGACAATTGCCAGGATGAGAATCAGCCTTTTAAAAAAAACACAGAAAACAACAACAATTATATTTGAAGGTAGGTCTCCTGGTATTTAACAGGAAAATATTGCTGTTGATGAGAATCACATTAATATTAATCCCTGGGTTGGACTCAGACTAATTAACAGAGTACACTCACTGAGAGATATAGAACAAGTTAGTTAAGCCTCATTGATTTCAGTGGGTCCAAACTGACTAAGCCTGGACCCAATCCATTATATTTTTTAATGAAAATAAAAGGCATTCAATTAATCATGTCACAAAGGAAATCTTAGGACAATTGACAAACCTGAATATGTTTTGAAAGAACACCCAGATTTCTCAAGATTTTCATAGCACTAATAAAATCTTCAGCTGTCTTTAACTAACAGCAGAGATGAGAAGGACAATGATTGGAACATTAGCTGTATTGGTTTATGTTCAAGTGTTCAGTGCTGAAACAGTAATTATGTAGATTTGGTAATGTTACAATTTCTTTTAATTTCAAAACTTGACAATATAATCTGCACATATAGAAAGTTCCCAGCATGGAATATTAACAGACCAGCTGTTTCTGCTTTGATGAAGCCCTGTTATCCACACGTGAACTATGCTTTAAGCAGTATTCTGCAGAAATCTTTTGAAGAAAGTCATCTTTGCAACAAAATAGAAGAGCATTTAAGAAAAGTGTAAACAGGAAATTACTTTTAGGATAGGAGCTCATAAAGCACAGACACTAACAACCAAAGTATATTTGAATGTCAAGGGTCTGGTGTAAACATACAAAGAACAAGGAAATTAAAGGGCATGTCATCTGCACCCAGCATACCTATACCCAAACAAAAATTGCTCTCTTTGGAAATGTATTTAAAAAAGAGATGCTCCCAGGTAAAGACTAAGTGTGCCAGGTGTCAGTTTAGGCAACATACTAGTAATTAGCTCTTAATTCACAAATACAATACAATAGAGACCTTTAATCACCTAAGCAGTACCAGAATTGTTAACCTGTACCTCCATATGGCTGAAAGCAACTGGAAGGCAGAGATATTTGCAGAAGCCACATTTAAGCTGGGGTAGGGATCAAAAAACAATATTTTGCACTCAGGTATAAGATTGAAATACTATCCCTGACTTAATGAGTTCCTTAAGTTTGGTAGTGGGCATATGCCAGGACCTTCAGATTTGGAAGCAAAATATTTCCCTATAAAACAATGGTTTCTCATGTTGCAGGTGTTTTTTGTTTTAATGTTTACTATTTCATCTGCCTTTAAGTTACTTGGAGCCTTGAGAAGTTCCAAAGAAGGTATAGCTGTTCAGCCACTTCATATTACAGTTTTCTGCTGTTTTTCAAAAACTGGAGTCAGGCTCCAATGAAAACTCTCTGTGAAATGAGTTTAAGCTGTTTCTTCCTCATAAAATAACACAGCTTTCTTTCTAACAATGAACCTTTCTAATATTACAATTATTATATTAGCACTTAAGTGGCTCAAAGTAATCTGACCTTTTATTTTTCAGGTAATGGTGTATGTAGCTTCAAAGTATGAGGGCTTAAGTGCTTTTCATTTATCATCCAGCTCCATTATGCATTTCTACCAGAGGGGAAAGAACCAACCACTGAGATGCTGTCACAGATTGACATTCATAAAGGCATCTGTTAAGCAGAGTCCTATTAATGAGCTTTGGTGATGAATAAGTTTTCATGTCCGGGCTTTAAGATCTACTGTAGGGCAAAAAGGAAATGGTGGCTTTTTCTACCCCTCTCCTATCTCCCTATTAGCTGCTCCTTTATAATGCAAACCAGTATATTAGGCTGTTTTGGTTTGTGCGTTAATTTAGGACAACAAAGATGGTAAATGTCGTGTGCAGTTTCTCTGTTAAAAGATAACCATTTCCTTAAAACAATGGTGTAAACATCTTTGCTTTTCATACTTTAGAAACAAAGAAATCACCTTTCCTGAATATATACTATATATGCACTTCAGTAATTATTTTATATACAGGGAAACACATACTTACACAGAGAGAAATGAATAGCCTTTTAAAGCTAACTTATTTGTCTACAAAGAAATATACACTGCTAAAGATGGCATTGGCAGGACCTTCCAGTTTTGCTCGAACCGCTTCATTTCTTCTGAGACAGTTTAACCACCAGTGCTAAACAAGTATTGTTTTAACTCTTTTTTGGCATTTTATGATGTATCAAACAGGAGGCGAAAAAACACTGGTACCTGCACACAAGCAAAACAGAATCATGTTTCTTATGGTGAATAATAATAATAAAAAGACATGATCAAGACATTTTAGTGTCCGTTAGCTTTCAGGAGGAGAAACTTAAAACACTGAAACCAATACAACTTTGGCTATGTCATGCCCAATATTACAATATCTCTGAAACTTGACAAAAATAAAATTAGAAGGATGGGAGCCAGGGGCAGCCTTTCCCTGGTCACTGTCTGAGGTGAATGGGAAGCTGCTGCCTCCTCTCTGCCGAAGCCTTACTGAAATCATGTGGTTGCAGGTTCCAGTGAGATCTTGTGAGAGATCCATGAGATCTCACTGGAGCCCCCAAACCGCTTCTTGTCTAATGCATCATAATGAGACAGAAAAATAAGACCAATCCACACCAAAATGCTCTCAAATTTCTTAAAGTATAAAGCAAAATGATTCTGAACAATCTCAGACAGTTCTTGTTAATAATTAAGATGGATGTGAAAAGGTTTTTTTCAAGTATTACTTACTTGACATAGTCGAGGAACATTCTCGCCTACTCAAAGGGTCTTCTTGTGGCGTTGGTTGGATTTTTGCAGGGGTGTATGTATTTAAAGAGTTTTTTCTTGCATCCAGAAATGATGGCGAAGCTAAAAGGGTTAATAAAAGTTACAAAGCTATTTTATCTTATTCTTTCTCAAGTAACTGGATGTTGTCGATACTGAAGAAGCAGAGATTATATAAAGTATCAACAAAGGCTGTATTATTCTTTGAACAATTGCCTCTGAAAAGTGTGTACATTGTTTTTATGCGAATAGTACAGTGAACATATTATGCTCCAATATTACTCTTCATCAACATGGATCTATAGGTTTTTGTCAACGTCATGTTTAAACTATTAAACAGTCATCTTTTTTTGCTTCCAAGAAACCTATTTAGACAAACCTGAAAGCTGTCTCACTAACTGAAGTTGGCATGCATGCACAGAAAATAGGTACCTGGCCAAATATGTATTTTGATATTTTTCTTATGTACTTCTTCTTTGTGTATGGCTTGCAGACTACTAAATTTAGCTATTGAAGAGTAGGATAATAAACTAGAGTAAGAAGGTCTAATACTGCCTGAATAAAGAACTTTTTCCTCAGAGCATATTATCTCTGAGTACTAGGTATAGATACCTAACTCAGCTTCTACTCACTTTTTTGACTTAGTGCACCAAGATTTGCTAATTTAAAAATTGTTATGCTTCTCTTTACTGCTGTTTTCTACCACAAGGAACTTGAGAATTTTGCTTAAAGTTAGAGGCAGGTCTGGAGAATTAAAAATTTACAAAATCAGACATTTTGTGTTCCTTCATCCTAGCAGGTGTAACTTGAAACTGGCATTGCACCTTGGAATGTGAAATATATTAAGTCTGTTACCTCTTCCCATGCTCCGTCTTGAGACCAAGCACAATGCAGGCTTCATGGCTTCAACACTAGGCCCATTTTTTTATCCTCTCACCTATCGCTCTGCTTAAAATCTAGCCTGACAAAGAATTCTGGACAGCTCAAAAGCTTTCTCACTATTTTGTACTAGTTTGGATGCCCTAATAAAGGTATTTCCCTACTATGGAATTTGGGAAATTATTATTTACAGTTAGTTACAGAAATATCAAGAAATCTGCATGGCAGTGTTCGAGCGGAAAGAGAATAATGTGCTATAGGCATCATAGTGTTCAGGGTCCAATAAGCTACTTCAAGTATACAGAGAGGTATGTGCCAAGCAGAATCTTCATTCCCCCACCTCAGCAACTCTATCTGAAGTTGCCTAAGTTTTTGAAACAAAGTTTCTAGCTTAGCTATGGGACATATGTGTGGAGTGGAGGGGTAGAATGGAAGCCCCACTTCTTTGGATCTTAGCAGTTTTTAATTGCACAAATAAGTGTTGTCATTATACAGAAATTTTGCACAGCATACATGCAGGGTATGTGTTATAGTCATATTGTGTGACTAATTTAAGTTAAATTGCATTCTCTTACACTTCCAAGGACAGCCAAGAAGACAGCTGCAGTGTGGGTGGTGTGGTTATATGCCAATTCATGGGGAAAATGAGGAAATACTTATTTGATTAAATCTGAAACAGTTTATCAGTCCCACACCAGGAAACACTAAATCCTAGTATTCAATGGAATGCTTATGGCCAGCAGCGTTTTGCAGTTTGTGAAATAAAAGACATAAAAGGTAATTACGCAGAGAAAATGTGGATGCGGCTTGAAATCTGTCGTACAAAGGAGTGGCAGCAATGGAAGCAAGAAATTCATCCACCTGCTTTAATGACAAGGAGTTATGGAGGGTTTCTAGAGGGCAGATTGAAGGCACCATGGAATACAATTCAAAGCCTGAAAAAGAAAACACAGACACACACACACCACATATTTCCAACATAAAAGGAAGCAACTGAGCAATTATAATGGCACAGGTATGTTCTGCAGAAGTATGCTTAACAGGCCAGAATACAAAGAGACCCGTGCATGCCATGTGCACCAAAGCACTTCTGAACCCAGTGCAACTCTCCAGATTTCTGCTCCTTTTGCACTGCATCAGAAGCAGCTCCAGAATGATTGCTTGACTTTCTGAAGGGAGTTTTCTCAGGTAGACACATGGCACATGCAGGCCTGCAGTGAGAAAGATGGAACCAAAAAGCCTCAAACATGATTCTGGCTCCATCCAAACACATGCAATCATACAGTAAACACTTCAGATACTGAAACAATATGGAGCTGGACTAAAGGGTGTCAGAATTTCCTATATATGAAGCTCATGGTTCTAATATACATAATATAAAAACATTTTTATTTAAATAAGTCTAAGGCAGCAATTTAACCACCACTTACACAGATGTAGACCTACTTATCCATTGTACTCTCCGATAACTCTAATCTAGGTTTTCATTCATTTATAAATTTCTATATAAAACAGACTTAAGAAATCAATGAAGTAAAGGCTCAGCATGTCCCTATGTTACTTCCATAGGCATCAGAGCTGGCTCTTCAAGTCAAAACTCCTGGTCATCTAAGTCTGAAAGTACTGTTTTCTGAGAAGAAAGCAAGGACAACCCTCTTCCAGGATTATGACAAGTTTCCTTAACATTATTTACACCCAGCTTCATTACTTTTAAAACAGTTACTGTCAAGCCACAAATAAATCTGAAATCCAGGGTTAGGCATCATAAGTAAAAACCATGCATACCTGAACTAACGTTAATTTAAAACTCCATATGCGTACATAAGCTTTAAAAAGCACTTGTGAACTGATTCAGACAGCTCCCCACAAAAAATTGTCCATATAAAGTTTCACTATTATAATTCCGAAAACAAAAACTGTAATTTTACTTAAGTTGCTAAATTTCTCCCAAGACCTTTTCTTTTCAATTACATAGGTTTGCTAATGAAGAAGTATTCATGTTTTTAGTGCAAGGTACATTTAAATGTAATATGAAGTAAACTATAGTGAACTCCAAAACTAAAGAATTCAAATTCTTGTTATCTGAAATCACTTTTCTCTCCTTAAATTTCTAGAGAAGGAAACTTTGCAAATGAACATTTTGGTATCTTATTGAATTGTAGCAGTTAAGCCTCTGTGTGTGCTTCAAGTTAATTGTGTTTAATGCATAATAATTCTTCTAAGAATACAACACTACGCATGCAGGCAAGCGCGAACCCTTTCTTTGCATTACAGTAAATTCCACGAGAACTGCAGCTTTCCCTGACTGGAGAAAATCCACAAATGTGTATGAGTATCTATGTAAGGAACAATTTCATGGGACTATGGCAGGCTATTTTCTTTAAGTGCTCATGTCTATTTTGGTGCTTATAATTACCTCATGTACAATAAATATCCTTTGAAACAGTTAAATCTGAAGCCTCAATAGTGTCATTTATATTTCTGCATACTTCTTTTAGCTTTATTTACCTAGGCAATAAAAACCAACTATTCACTTGTGCGCGCACCCATCTTTTAGCAGCTTCATTACTGAATTATCAAGCATTGGAGAAATATCCTGAGACATGTGCCGAGAGGCCATTTCCACTGGATTGAAATTGAAAATGGTTAAAACCTATTCATTTGTGTTCTTTTATTTTTAAAAAGACACCTACGTATTTGGACAATATCCCTTCAAATGTCTGATCTGCTAACGTGAGCTGACCTCTATCTTAACATACCAGTTTCCATCAAAATGAAAGACAATGAAAGGGTTAGCGCAGCAACTTAGAAAGCCACCCTGCCGTCTTACATTCGAAAGCTATAAAGACATACCACTGGCGCCTAGAAATTCCTCAGAAGAAACCGACCAGCACCTAAAGAGGTCTGGATGTTCTGCACAGAGGCCCAGAAAATAAGTAAAGCACTGTCAGTAGATACTTGTTTCACCATGTATCTTGAATTCAAGATGAAAGGAAGGGGAAGACTGAAATGGTTTAGAAGTTGCATTGTTATCTTAAAGTTATGGAAGTCAAAGAAAAGAGGAGGCCCTCAATGAAAGGTTAAGAACAAGCAGTACGCCACGCCTCATTTTCAAAGCAGCTGGAGTGATCCCAAGTTACCTGGGGAAGTACATTTAGGCTTCTGAGTAATACATATAACCATGCAGTAAATTGTGAAAGTTGTGAGGATACATATTAATCAGATCACAGCAATCTGTATCAACACAGCTGTGATAAAAAATATACAAATTTTAAGCACATACTATTTGGATAAAATGTGCTCTGCCAGCTATTGATGATATATTTCCCCTCTTATTTGTAAATATTTATTTTTTAGCTCTCATACCTCAACTTTCAGCTGTTTTGCATACTAAATTGAGCATCTCTCTCTTTAGATGACTTAATTTTAGAGTCAATGTGCACATTTTTTTTTCCATTTTCACAACTAATTCTATATGTAGGTATGAAATACTGTAGTGATATTAGTAAAGATTATTTGCAACTGAAGCAAACCTATCATTTTATTATGATGATTTGGGAATAGACACAAATCTACAGCTACATGAAGACATTATATTACCTTACCACTGAACTCAGTTAATAAATGGCTTTGGAAACTTTTTGAATAAGGATAAAGAAACTGAGAGCAGCATTACTGTTTCATCTATGATGGAGGAGTGGCCAGCTCAGTTTCTGTGATGAAAGGACCAATTCAGTGGCAAAGCTTTGCAAAATGTGTTATATGTTGGGGCAGAATACAATCGTCTGTTAAACATTAAAAGCTTCCCTAAACAGGGCTGCCTTCAGATGTCTTCTAAAAGTCTGGTAGTTGACATCTGGTGGGAGGGCGTTCCACAGGGCGGGTGCCACTACCGAGAAGGCCCTCTGCCTGGTCCCCTGTAACTTGGCTTCTCGCAGAGAGGGAACGGCCAGAAGGCCCGCGGTGCTGGACCTCAGTGTCCGGGCAGAACGATGGGGGTGGAGATGCTCCTTCAGGTATACTGGACCGAGGCCGTTTAGACCTCTGGAGGAAAACATAGTGGCAAGTAACTCATTACAGAAAGCACTTAAGCTGTCTGCATGAAAGGAAGGAAACTTAAACAAGGTGAAGCAAATCATTTGGTTACTGACAGAAATGTAGGGAACTTTGTTTTCAATTAACTTTTATTTTAAGTCTAATGTGATTTCAAGAAGATGATAGCAAGTTCCAGTTGTTATTTATAATGAAATCCTGAGTTCACAGAGAATAGGCTTAGCAGTGGTTGTTAGCTATGCTAGATAATCAGAATCTTCATGTTCAAAGGCTGTATACCTCTGAATCCCAGTCACTGGGGGACAAATAGAGGACAGACCACCACTTTCATGCCCAACTTAATGAGTTTCCCAGTGCCATCTGGTGGTTGCTGTTGGAAATAGAGTGCTAGAGAAAGTGGACCTTTTGGTTTGGTTTAGTAAGGCAGTTCTTACGCTGAGTTCCAAAAGTTCAGAACAGAGATATCCAACACAGCAGGATGCCAAAGAGTATGAAGGGGAAAGTAATAGGAGCTGTTTAGGGTTCATAAAGTTTTTAAACCATACACTATGTGTACTAATTGGTTGTGTCATTAAGAAGACTGCGTAAAAATAGACATGGACTTCATTTAATTCCCCACCCCATCCCAAAAAAGATTTTGAATGTGTGAATTTTAAAAGACTAGATTATGGAATTAAAAAGGGGAAAGGGATTTAAATTATCAGAACTTCTAATAATTGACAATATGGCCATGTGATCAGCTGGAATCAGGGAGGAGGATGGTGGACAGTACTATACACCCCATAGTTTGGAAGGGATGAAGCAAGGGAATACTTTTTTTTTTAAATAAAAGCAAAACATACCATTGGTTGGGTGTCGAGCAAATGAGATAGAAAACCTTTTAACAGCAGAACCACGTGTGGTGTCTGAGAAAGAGAAAAACAGGTACCTGAAATTCAAAACAGCTACCAAAAGAGGGATAATTCAAGAAAGGACAGAAGAGGGGAAAACAATGAAGAGGAGGTTAGAACTGAGTGGCATGCAGAAGGGATTGGGAGAGGTGCAAAGGCCAAAACAGGTTTAAAAGCAGGTAAAACTTAGCTGGTTGTTACTACTAGAGGTTTAATGGAGTGTATGGAAGACAAATACGGGTGAGCTTGTGATTTTGGCATACAGACATACATGGTTAGAATTGAATATCATGGATGTGACAGTAGGAGAAAGCTGAATGTTTCTTACCCTCAAGAAAGTTAACAAACATTGTAAAATGGTGGAAATCTGGTGCTGACATGTCTATTCTGCTTGTTACTCTGAAGCCCCAAGCCAAACACTTTCTGGATAATTTTAAAAATAATTTAACAAACGTACCTCTTTTTAGGACTTTACAAATATTAATGAATCTCCTTTGATTTCTCTAGTTCTCAATAAATGGTTTTTTGTTCCATTTCAGGAAAAAATTACCAAATTGAATGGTTTTAAACATAGGTTGAACATAAACTTTTAAGTTTATGTTGGTTTTAAGTTGGTTTGTTACGGAAGGGAAAAAGCCCTCCTTCCATCGGTGTGCCATTAAACAAAATTAATCTCTGAGAAATAAAGGGACACTACAACCCTCTACAAATTAATATTAGTGATCGGTATTATAGGCTTCTGCTCTGTAAAGAGGCCTAGGACTTTCTTTCAAGGTTTAATGTGTGCATATGAGTGGGTGAGTGTAAGTGCATGTGCGAAGGTGTGCACATACCATCTATGCAGCCAGAAGAAGTCAGCTTTTTACGATGAATACGAGCATAATCCTGTAGGTTAGGTGCACTTGAAGAACCCCCGAGCACCGAAGTGCTAAACAGGCTCGCACAGTGAGACCCTGATGGGAGTTAGAGAAAATACATACAGCAACCAGGTGTTCTTCTGTTCACATCGGGGATGCATGCAGCATGCAAGCATATCGCTCTTACCACACAAGAGGCTGCCTCTGGCATTGCCTTGAACAGGTTCACAATATGCTTATAAAGTCAGTGGTACTTTCAGGATGTAACTACCACAAATTACTGTGCTTTATTTATCACAATCCCCTTACTAATTATATACAAAGAGAAGGCTGAACTCTAATGAAGGGAACTTCCTTTTGTTTTCTGTTGCTAGACTTGATAAAGAAAAGAAAAAAAACACTGCCTGATAGGTCAATGTAAAATAAAAAGGGATGGTTGAGGAAGAAACACAAGATTGAATATTTGCAGTTTATAACTGAATCTGTTAAAATGAGCACTGAACTGTGCAAAAGACAGAGATCAGTATGTTTTCATGTGGAAATTCCACTTAAATTCATGGGATGTGATCAAGTTTTCTTGCATGCGTTCCACTTATGGCTTGTGCAGACATATCCCATTAAATGTGTTGAGTTTCTCAATGTATTTTTAAAAGTTAATGGCTGATCTAAAAACAAACAAACCCTGGTGTACTGACTTTTGCTGTCTGATATTAAAAACCTTGTTTATAAAGAAGAATTTTCTATGTACTAAAATATTGGTATCCTCCTCCCATAATAATATTTTAATTTACATTTAAAAACCTAAGAAAAGGGCTACTTTGGGTGTAATGTATTTTGGACAATCCCTTACCAATATAAAATTAATCTCAATGGCACTTGCTCAGGAGAGGTTTCTCCTATCCTTGCCCTTTGAAACCTGATCTATTTGCTTTCTAATCATGAACCACTGATTCAAAATTTCTGTTATTACCACTGACAACCAAACGGTGAGGAAAACATTAGTAGCACATCCGATGAAACACATCAATATAAATGTCTAAACTGTGGAGAAGCTTTGGAACTTAAGAAATACCTGCATTTAGATCAGTTTTCATCAACATGTACCGTATTGGCGTGAATATAAGTCTCACTTTTTGCCCAAATTCCGACCGTGAAAAGTTAAAGTGTGGCTCATATTCGCGACCTTATGATATGCAGGCAGGAGTGTGGCAAAGCGGCATCCGTCCTGTGCGTAGTCCCCCGTCCTCTCCCCAAAGGTCGGGAAGGGAAAGCGTGAGGAAGGGGAAAGGTCACTAGCAACGGACCCCCCTCCCCCAAATATGCAGCGAGGAGCAGCGAGGAATGGAGCGGCTTATATTCAGATATTTCTTTTCTTTTCCCTCTCCAATTTTAAAGGTGCGGCTTATATTTGGGTGCAGCTTATATTCGGGCCAACACAGTATATTTATGTGGAATATCACAGAGAACAGGATTGTGCAATGATTGAAGAACATTAGAAAAATTAAACTCCAGTAATCAAGAGCATCTGATGTATGCATTTTGCTAGGTAAAATTTTGAAACACGAAGAAACAAAAAAAGATTGTGCATATAGAAAGAATACAGAGTTAAGTAGACAACTGGAGAAATGTTTATCTTAGACTGCATTTAATGCTGTGTTTGTTTTGTTTGACGTGCTATGAAAGTGTTACCCAAAATATTAAAACATTTGCAGAGCAAAAAAGTACCAGTAGTATACACTACCAAATGTAGTATAATACACTACAGTACAATGAAAATAGTATTCATTCTACAGTACTAAAATGCTGCTGAAATAGAAATCTGATGCTTGCTGTGATAAAACAGTTACAATAGCCAAGCCTGTATTCTGAAAGCTGTAGTTGATGGAATTTGGGGTAGTGCAAAGAACATTACTCTTGTGTTGTTCTTAAATGTATATGGAAAACAAAAAATGAGAAAAATAAAGGTTTTTGATTACCAGGAGAATCTCTTCAACTGTTCCCATCTGACTAAGGAGCAAGCCCTCAAAAGCCTAGAGATGAATCCTCTTAAAATGGTCTCTATTAACTTGTCAAAACAACAATATGGTTTGGGTTCAAGTGAAAAATTCATGCCAACACTGACAACTGATATTCTATATTCAATGACCAAATGACTTATGTGTATTAAAATATTCAAGATACATTATCCAAACAACGGAGTTAACTTTAAAAATATCTACAAGCTTGAATACTGAAAACTGAGTGGGTCTACTTTAAAGGAGCAGGACTTTAGGAAATATATACGTACCTATACCACTTGCCTTTTGCTCCACAATAGTTCTTGGTGGTCGGAAATAACTGTTGGTTTCTGTTGGGACCTAAACATGGGAAATGGATAAGTAAGAACAAAAACAGACTAGTGGGATTGTAGAATCCATTAAGCTTGAAACAGCAGCCTGTTCATGACAGACAAGTATTAATAAGCCATATGATGCATTAGTAGAGATACCAAAACAATATGGAAGGTCATGCAATATTGCTGAAGGGAATCCAGTTCACTCATGAGATCCTTGCAATGAAGTGGTGCAAGCAGGCATTCATGATGACAAAAACAGGACAGACACCAAGAAAGATATGAAAACACAGACAACTGTGTCATTTTAGTTTACCAAATGAACACTCCTAAACTGCGCCTGTATTGGAAGGGAGAGGGAGGGAAAAAAAGGAAACATAGACAGGCTGATGAGGTCACCTTACAGTCACTGATCCATGCACAGGCTCTTATCAGGGTAAACGTCTGATGTTCACAACCTTTAACCTAAAACTCTTTTTTTCTATATCCAAGCAATTTTTAGTTTCAATAGGACATCAAAATAACATTCTTTTGAGGGGGGGGGGTTCCGGTAACAGGGCACCATCCATTGTTTAGTACAACCATTTGTAAGTATGTTGTTTTATATCCAACATTAGTCCTACTCAGAACAGACCCACTGAAATGAACCGATATGACTAATTTGGTTTCATTAATTTCAATGGGTCTACTTTGGGTATATCTGAGTTGGACAAAAACTGTACACTATTCTATTTTACTGTTCAGTATATGTACTATTTTACTTAATTCCCCCAATATGTCAAATTTCACAATGTTATACATTACAATGGATGAAGAACTGTCTTCAAAACAAAGAGAGAGAGAGAAAGGACACCTCCAGTTCACAAGTAGAGAAAATAATGATTAGTACTAACAATTTTTTTCTTGAACAGTTAATAGGCCGTTGAAAAGACAATCTATGCTAATCCCAACTGTGGAATGCCAATATTGGACCCCAATCCAATTACTTCAAATCACATTTTGTTTCATTCATTAGCTAATAATTTTAATGCACCTGCCACCAAATTACTCAATGCTGTTTTTGTTTTGCTTTGTAAGTAAAAAAAGAAAAGTCTTAAAGGACAACTAAGCCAAAGCTGATGTCTATTTCATGAGGAACTAACTATTTCCATCTCTACAGAGCTGAAAAGAAACCAACTGAAAACCAAACAATCAACTACATTCAGTGAAACTTGTGTAGGGAAAAAAAAAACCATGCACTTGCTTTTTTCCCCCCCGAAGCATTCTTGGAAGTAACTAGTTTTGGTTTTTTATCACATTTTAATGACAGGTGAAATAATTTTCTTTGAATAAAATCCAGAACAAGGGATTAGATGTCCTTAAAGACAGCTGTTTTCTGCTTGGAATGCATAGTAATGTTTAATGAAGTAAAGTTTAAAAACCTGTTGCCATGAGCCAAAAATACTGGATGTGAAAGCCAATGATTTAGGGGAGACAGGGGAAGAAGTGATTTGTTCCCCTGATCTGCGTCTTCGACGCCCAGTACCCACACCACTGGTGTAATGCAGCCAGGTACCAATACACTCTGGGCTAGACACACTCAGGGGGCTCTCTTCCTGGAAGTGAGAAAGGGGGCAAAAAAACAGCAAAGCATGCAACATTAGATTCATAGCCAAATGATAAGAAAATGAAATACAGTTTTGTCTGCACCCTTTGCTAAATAACTTTAACAGCATTATACAGTAATGAGCCGTGTTTCCTATAATAAAATCACACAATACAAACAACTGGAAATACTCAGCTACTATTTTCACTAAAGACACTTAAACAGTACTAATGACAAGGAAACTGAATATGTACATATTTTAAAAATGTCACCGTTAATTGTGTTCCTCTCGCTAAGCATAGCAAATTCTCTGTCTGTGCTGCGTTCACTATTAATAAAGCACATATTTCACAAAAACATGTAACTGGCCTCTGATGACACTAACAATATTTTCTTAATTTTAGTGTCTCAGTTTTTCCCCTAACAAAACACACCAGTAAAATTTAATCTTCATTCTGTATCCACATGCCACATCTATCCTCTGCATAAACATTATACATCCTGCCTAAGCTCCAGGACCAACTCTAAGAACTAAACCAAACACCAGTGAGAGGCTGGCACACCAACAATGCTGTTATAATTTAGGTCTAGATCAAGACATTCACAAGAAACAGAGTCAGGACCACACTGAAAGAACATAACAGATACATTTATGTTCAATATATATTTAGGGAGCCTTGATCTTCAAGGTTAAGTTGTTTGGTTTTTGTTCACTTTCTCCAAATAGAAGAGAATCAGCTTCACGTTGCTTTACACACCATTTTAAAAAAACATCTTTTTAAAATGGCATTTTATTGAAGTGGGAAAGAATTCTAAATACAGCTAAAAAGAATCTCTCCATGTTCCTATCAATGAATACACAGAATGTCCCAAGAAGAAAGAAAAATATAATGTAAAAATGAAGCCATGGTTTCCAAATCTTTCTATATTAAAAGTTTCAGGCTAGTAAAGTCAGCAAAATAAAAACAGTGTTTATTGACAGGGAAAAGCAGAATTTACAACTATGTGTGAAAAATTACAAAGGATATGTAGAATACTGCTCAACATTAATGTTTGCCTGCTGGAAAAACCCACAGCATTTATTAGGATATTCCTGTATCATCACATAAAAAACCTGGAACATCATAATAATTAAAATATTTTTGGATCCCTAAGAAATATATATAATATCTCTCTGATAAAGACTGCCATGATCAGTAAAAAACGCATGTGCCCACATTGGGGAGAGAGTAGGCTGGATGGGAGGGGTGGGGAGGGAAAAGAACTTGGTTTAAACAGGCTACAAACTTTAATCACTACAGGTTTGATGAATTGGAAACACAAGGGTAGAACTAAGAAGTCAAGTGACCTGCCTGCTGTTAGAAGAGTCCAGGCTGCCTGCTGAAAAGTGGGATGGTCAAAAGGTGGCAGGATCGTCTGTAGCCTTGAGCAACCACCTACCAGAGTGCAGGTATGATGGCAGTGACTGGTAGTGAGCTGATGCACAATTTGTGAAGGCATCTCTTAGTACAATTAGGCTAAGATCCAAATAACAGCATAAATAATTCTGCACACACACAGAGGCTTAGTACTTGAAATTTTAGATGTTGGATCCTGAACAACACATGGCACTTATGAAACGGAGAGGAGTTTTTGAAAAACTGAAATACAACATGGGATCTTTGCTTCAGAGGGAAAAGGTAAATAAAATAAAAATAAAAATCCCATAAGATATATACAAGATCTTGGATACAAAATGAGTTTTTTTAGCCTTCATATTTATCACAGCTCAAGACAGCCAAATAATAGTATAGAATTCAATCAATAATATCAAATGGCCAAATTATTTGGAATTATTCATTTTGTAGCATGGAAGTCTGGAGATAGTACAACCCACTCCCCATAGGTCTTTGCTCCTGACTTGTCAAGGGACAAGGGCTGTTACACAAACTAGTGCCCACATGACACCAAAAATAAATTGTAACATATACAGCATTCACATATCACAGTATATAGCAGTTGATGGTTTATCATAAATGTGCAGAACGCTCCTTCCCTCTAGCTAGTGAGAGCAGCAAACCACACTCCCTGGCTTAGCATTCCATCCAAAATAGGAATATGGTTTGTTTTTGACTTAATGTCATGATTTGTTTGGAATAGAACAAACCATGATTCCTAGGTTCAGATGCAACACTAAACCAGGGATTGTGGTTTATTGCTCCTGCTGGCTGTACAAGAAAAGCAAAGGTGGAGTGATCTCTGCATTCATGGTAAACCATCAATTACGGTTTACTGTGTTGTGTGAACTGGGCCATACTGTTTCTTGCAATTTTATTCTGTTACTGAAAAATGATTGGTAAAAAGAGAAACTCTCTCCTCACCTACTTCACTATTCTGAAGTAGCCCTCGTAAATATGACAGACTTCCGCATCAACCTTGATTCAGAATATTTAAGATTTTGGGACAGAAGACATATCTTTCATATTGATAAGATAATGTCTTATCTTTCAGGGTACACTACAACAATCAGTTATATTAGGAAATATATATATTGGGATGAACCATAACATTCTTGCAAAAGGCAAAAAATGTCTTTAACTATTTATTGTAGAATAATACATTTTGTAAGATTGTGTATGCAAGCAATGTAGATTAGTCAGCCTGAAGACTTAAGACCTTGTTAAGTGATCCAAACTCCTCTGAATAGTGGTATCTTTCGGTTATTAATTTATGGAAGTGTCTGAAGCAATGTTAAAGTCCTAAGAGAACTACAGCTATGTATTTGCCATGCATTAAAAAAGAGAAAAAGAAATGTGAAAATCTCTCTAAAACAGGAGCCTGTTTCTACAGTAGTTAAGCATGGGAACAGCAAACTTACTTCTGATGAACCAATTTTCCTGGGTCTTGGAAGAGGCGACTTTCTGTGTATATGAATTGGATCTGACACCAATGGCTTGAAGATCATTACAGATCGATCTGTTTCATCCCTTCTACAAGCATGTGATTCCTCATCACTTTCATTTTTCTGGGAGTTTTTCCTTGAGCCATCATTCTGGAAGAAAATGGATGTTTCATGTGACACAAAACATTCGGCAGGTGGAAAACATAATTCCTTCAAATATTAAGGATTATGGCCCTTGGATACCTATAGCAACAAACCACATACCACATGTGTTTGTATAAAGCAACTTCCTATGGAGCTATGGGAATGTACACCAAAACACATTTGGTCAGGCCCTAGCAACTGTCTCCAACTCTGAAGACAATGATTTGTCCATTATGAAAGTTACTTTCAAGAAAACAAAATTTTCTTAGTATCTGGAAGGGCAATCCATATCCCAACAAGGGAGCTGTTCACACCATCTGGGGCAGAAGACAGTGGACAGGCAAAAGTCTGCTCTTGCCTACCTCAGTCTGGAGCTGGCATTGTGATCAGACCTAGATTGAGCTCAATGCCACCAAGTGGGACCAGCTACGGATTGAGCAGATCACAGGCTGGCCAAGTCCCTCCAAGCAGCCCCCTGTTTTGGTGCTTTCTTGCAGACAACTGCTGATGGGAAGGCCTTTTGTTGGGTGAAACTGGGGGCTCCGTGGCAGGCAGAAGCCAGTGGAGCTGTTCTTGGCTGGGTGGAAGAAGACCTTATTCCTAACATTTCCTTCACCCATGTAAGGGCTTTTCTGAACATGGGTCTGGGTGTGAGGTGGGGTGCTCAAGTATGCTCTGTGTGTGATTGAGAGAAATGTACTTGGGCAGAGAAAGAAAGATGTAGGTATGTATGGTGTGTGCACACGTGCACGATAGTTAGAGTTAGAGGGAGGTATTTGTGTGTGTGACTGTGTACACATGGCATGTGTCTGCGAGAGAAATACAAGTATGTCCTTGGTCTGCATGTGTGTGATGTATGCAATGTGAGGGAGAGGGGGGAGAGAGTGTGATATGGCCACCTTGTACATTTTTCCTGGTAGTGGGGAATGCTTCTTGTTCAAGACAGCGACAGCATTGTTTTGTGGAGGTGACACTGTGTAACTTCCACAACATAATGTTGTCCAGGGTAGCAGCAATGACAGTACACCCTCTAATTTTGTGACATGCCACATCCCCAAGGCAGCCATGTTGTGACTGATGGTCACAGCTTTTCCTCAAAATTCAAAATGTGCTATTTTCTACAAATAAGTGGGAAAGTTACAACACAAGCTGTGTTATGTCATGGTACAATATTAAGCATTCAACTACAGTGGTACCTCAGGTTACATACGCTTCAGCCTTACAGACTCCGCTAACCCAGAAATAGTGCTTCAGGTCAAGAACTTTGCTTCAGGATGAGAACAGAAATCGTGCTCTGGCGGCGCAGCGGCAGCAGGAGGCCCCATTAGCTAAAGTGGTGCTTCAGGTTAAGAACAGTTTCAGGTTAAGTACGGACCTCCGGAACGAATTAAGTACTTAACCCGAGGTACCACTGTATTGTGAAAAGTCCTGCTCAAATTTCATGTATGTAAGAAACATTTTAAAGAGTGTTTACCTCCCGTGAAGCAGGTCTGTATCCGAAGCCTGACGGTAAATTTTTATCTTCTTCACAGCCTTTAGCTCCTGGACTGAAGTGCAATTCCACATGGAAACGCTCCTCTGATGAAAGCTCCTAAAGAAAATGGACAAGGAGTTAAACCATGTTTCCAAGTATATAATACTGGTTTGCCTATGTGCTTAGCATTTCCTTACCTTGTTTGGATCCTCATACAGCATGATCACAATCTGAGTCATGTAATTGAGTTCACTGACAGCATTCAGATAATCCATAGCTCGTTTCCACTGTTCGTCTTTTGATGGCTTAGATCAAAAGAAATTCACATGTTTAGTACTGCAAGCATATGGGTGACAATTTCTTTTTAATCTCTACATTCTGTTAACTTCTAATTGTTAGCTTCTAACTAAAGGGCTGCAATTTGAAACACCAAGGAGTAAGTACATTAAGCACAACTGACTTACTTCTAAGCAAGCCAAATAGGATTGTACGGCGCTATAATAAAATGCATTCTTATACAGGCCAATGTTACATCACTTTTACATCCTTTCCCAAAACCTATCACAATTTAAATATTATTATTATTTGTAAAGCAAAACTGAAATACAAAGCATTTTCATAACCGTACAGGCAAAAATACTTCAAAGAGCATATAATTTAAAAATGATAACAATGGGTTGGGGAAGGGGAAGATAACAAGTGGTGATGATGGAAAAGTGCAGTACACATGCTGTGCATGTGGTTAAAGGCAAGGAGGAGGATTACAGAGTTTAGGTTTACCAGCATGCCCACAACTGAAATTCTGTCATTTCTATAGCAATTTAGCAGCAACCCCTTCTACAAATAGCTTGCGCCTCTCTTCATAATGATCAATTTGCAGAACATCAGTCAGAGAAATGTGCTAGACTGTGTCTGAGAATATCATATAGATTTTAAAAGGTCAAGTGGCAGATATTTCAAAACATGGAACAGATAAAATAACTCACTGTAGCCTTTTCCACACGTTTCAGAACAAAGCAAAGTCAATGAAAGGTAACAGAACTATTTCTGCCTATGGGGGAAAACCCCAACTACACTTAGTAGTATAAAGTTTGTATTATTCAAAATGTTTTTAGGACATGGCTCTCCAAATCCACCCAGAGCTCTCCCGGTAGATTTTCTGTAATGAAAAGTTTATTCCCATGGGAGTGGCATTTTGAGTTGCCACATAATACTTCTACCTAAATAATATTAATAAAGTACGCTGCACATTTCCAAAAGTGATGAGCATACAAAACTCAACTAAAACAACCAGAAGAGGATATCACTTACATCACATAAAGAACCGAAGCGAAGAGTTGATAGTAAGGAATGGACATGGCTCTCACTGGTGAAGTATAGCCTAGTTCGGACATGACGTTCAGGAGACATAACCCCACTGGAATACCTAAGAGCAAAATAATCTGAGACAGTAAACAAGTATTATACAGGCTCGTGAATACCTGTAGAGAAAGCAAGAGAGCTTAAAGTGCATTTCCCCATAATTAACATTTCTAAAGATCAAAAAAATCCAGAATAATTTCCCAAACTCTCTTAAATTGGTGAAAGAGTACCTGTGTAATGACCATGCAGTGAACAAATTTCATATTTCCCCCCAATTATTTTTCCCTTTCTGTTTCATAAGATCAGCCCCCCCCCAAAAAATATCTTGTCTTTCTTACTATAATAGTCTTTTTTTAAGGACTATTATAAAGACTACATTTTTTAATGTTAATGCTGCAGTTGGAGTGGCTGGGAGTATTATGAAGACTCTTTATCTTACAAAAATATGGTGGTGGTTACTGCAGTTTAATGACAGGCAGGCAGGCAAGCAGCACGGGTGGTGGCTGGCCAAGACATGCCCTGAAGGAACAGTGAGGATGGGGAAAAGGGCAGTTCCCCAGCAGCAGTCTTGTTCTGCTGCTGCTTCTGTTTTGGCCTCAGCAGCATTGGAGGCTGATGAGAAAGCAGCAGCAGCATAACAGGACAGTTGGTGGGTTCTGCCCTGGCAGGCAAGCAGCCTTGGGGGCGAGGAGGCAGCAAGAAGGATTTGGCTAAATTCATGTCACTATAAAAGTAACAAGAAAGTACCACTCCCAAGTTTTCCAAGCAAAAAGGAACTTACAAAGGGTGGAGCTTGTTAACTGTATCATCATCTTGAGTTCTTTGAAGATCGGACCGGATTTTCCTCAGTAGTGGATTGCAGTACCCTTTAGCTATTTCTATTTTCTCAGCTGCAGTAATACCATATTCCTGGATGAGAAGAGCATAATTAAAAATAAGCTACAATGTGCACTGAATATATGCATGGCATGCTACAATATTTTGCTATAGGGCCCCATTTGTTCTTTCTATTTCAGATTCAATTTGTGCAGAAGCACAAAACATCACTAGGAAAAATCCTAAGGGGTGGGGAGACACTCAAAAGAACCCACGGAGAACTGAGTATTTCTAGTGCCCACACAATACTGACTGTTGAAAGGGAGGGGGCTAAAACCAAGATGGGAGGGGAATGGAATACAGTGGTCACAACTCTGTTTGCTTGCAAACTTCCATTCCTCGTGATCTGATGTCAAGTTCTAGATCATGTGTCTCAATAGGTTTTTAATGTCTTGCATCGACTGGTTGCAGGAACCTACTTGTCACTCGCTTATTATGGCTTGGGAGTTAATTGCACTTTGGCTCCATTAAAATAAATGGTGTAAGTTAGTCATTGATTAGGTCAGGGGTCTGCAACCTTTAAGACAAAAAGAGCCACTTGGACCCATTTCTGAAGAAAAAAAAACTGGGAGCCGCAAAACTCGTCATTATAAAAATAACTTTTTTGTCACTTTTTTATTATTTCTTTGTTTGACCCCTCAGAATTACTCCTCCTCGTAGAAATAAACGTTAAATTAACAAGTTACCTTTTTGTGTGTGTGTGCTCTTCACTCCCCTTCAAAACAGTGACCAGCGTACACGCCCCCTTTCAATGCAGTGACCAGCGTACATGCCCCTTACAATGTAGCGGGTGGGCGGGTGGGAAGGTGACGTCGGGACGGTGCGTGACTAATGCACGCACCGCCCCCATGCAATGTCACAGGCAGTACAGCGCCCGCCACAGTGGGGAGTGTCGGGGTGCACAATGCGCCTCCTCCCCTCGCTAGTATCCGCCCCGGAGCCGCGGCAAAGGTGTAAAAGAGCCACATGAGGCTCCGGAGCTGCGGGTTGCTGACCCCTGGATTAGGTCCTACTAATTTCAATAGGAGCTAAGCAATGACTAACCTGCCCCATTTATTCTATTCGGACCAAAGTGAAAGTAACTTAAGCTGTAATCTTCTGCCTGCTTAACCAGGGAGTAAGTCTCATTGTACTCAATGGGAATTACTTTTGAGTAGACATGTACAGGATTGCATTGGATTTAGCCAATATATATAAAATATATGTCTATGTAATTATTAGATTACATATCCTCTAGATATTTCCTTATTTAATTTAATAAGGAACAGAAAAAAACAATATTTCTTTCAATACATACCATTTATAAAAACTGGTTAGTGGACCACAAATTGTTTGGAAATAGTTAAGCTATGGATTGCCATAATGATTAGCAAGTATAACCAGTATGAAACATCTAGTTGTTGCAGAATACTATTTAAGAGTAGTTGCAAGGTACATACCTGTGGTATAACAATGTCAGCTAACGCCTTTGACAGTCTATATAGTTCCATTGTGTTTTCTAGTTTTAAAGAGACATTATGCTGGACATCATACTTAATACAGTCATAGATATCTGGAATTTTACTGATGTCATATCTTCCATTCTTTGTTTTAAAGTCCTTTTCAAGCTTGGACCATCTACGCAACATTAGCTCCAGCGTTTCACTGTGGTAAAGCTGAATATCTAGGTAGACAATTATTAGCGAAGAATAATCAAATCAGGTAACTTGAAGTAAAATCAAATGAAACATTAAGAAAAATTATGATCTAGTATATTCTAGTTAGAATTATCTCATGTATATTTGCTTTCACATCAAATATACCCTTTTTCAGATTAAAGAATGCCATCCACTTACATGACAAAAGTCATGAGCTAAACAAGCTCTAGCAAAGGACTGCACAGTTCATATTGTTCTGATGGTTAGCTTTATTAGCTAAAGAAGGATAGATTGCTACATTGGCCACAGAAAGAACATTTTTTTCAATTTTAGTTGTTTTCTTCTAAAACTATTTTTGTTAAATTCATTTCCTTCCCCTGCGCCCCAGTGCAAACTCTCTCTGCACCATGGGTTTTCTCCAATCTAGTTAACTCTGCCCTTCCTTTTTTGTCTTCGTCTCATAGCATATACTGTCTTCTCTCTTCACCCATATTTCTCAACTGGCCCTTTTTATCATTGCATACCATACCACCCACTCTTCTTTTGGGTCACCATAAATCTCTTGGCACCCTATCTTTTCTTCACTAATAACTCACTATTAATATATATTTTAGTAGCTAAATTTCACTGACAGCAATACTGTCTACTCAAAATTCTTAAAACTGCCTAAGCCTTCATGGCTAGCATCAACATTACAGTCTGCTTAAAATAATTGTTTACCTGCAGACTTAGGATCTTCCATCCGTCTTCTGATCTGAGATGTCAAACTCTGGATCAAGGAATATACCTTATCACATGTCTTAACGGGGTTTTTAATGACTTGCATTGATTTTATCAGAGAAACACTGCCGGATGGTGTGAGCTGAATATCAAATAAAAAGGGAATTCATTAGTTCTATTCATTTTTATTTTTGTTTGAAGGATAATAGGATACTATAACCTTAAAACAGGTAATCTTAAGAATCATAATTTGATTTTCAATAAATGATCGCTTTCAGGGTTTCTGTTTGTTTTTTACAATCAAGTCGTGGATAAATGTTATAAAACAAAGAAATTAAGTCCCAATGAAGTACCGTATTTTTTGCTCCATAACACTCACTTTTTTCCTCCTAGAAAGTAAGGGGAAATGTCTGTGTGTGTTATGGAGCGAATGCCTACGGATGGCGGGGGGATCTGCTGCAGTTGTGAGCAGAGGATCCATGGTTCCCCTTCCTTCCCTCCTCCGTGGCTCGCTTTGGTCGCTTTGAAACAGCAAAGCGGGAGAGGAGCCACTGAGTGGGGAGAAGAGAAGGACAGAGAGCCTGGTTACAAAGCATGGATCCACATGGATCCTCAGGATTTTTGCACTGGATCACCCCAAATTCACCATCAGATCACATAGCATGTCCATGGCTACAGCTTTCACCAAAAAAATCACGCACCCACTGTTGCCTGGGGCCGCAGTGGTGCAAAAACGTGGTTACAAAGCATGGATCCACATGGATCCTCAGGATTTTTGCATTGGGCTACCCCAAACTCACCGTCAGATCACATGTCTGTGGCTACAGCATGAACCACAAAAATCATACACCCACTGTTTCATTTAGAATATTTTTTTTCTTGTTTTCCTCCTCTAAAAACTATGTGCGTGTTATGGTCGGGTGCGTGTTATAGAGCGAAAAATACGGTAAATGGTGCTTGTGGCACTAAAAAAGACGTTTGTCTTATCTGAAGCATAGATTTGGTGGGTTAGGAAGCGTTCCCTGGGTTGGGTAATCATCATGAGCTATGACGAAGGTAGGACAGCAGAATTGTGGGAAGTGGAGGAAAAAACACAGCGTGGTGGAAAAAACACACAGCGACAACAGAATAGTGAAAGAATAAGAAGTAAAAACACTTAACTGACAAGGAATAGAGAGAGCCGGGAAGACCGAACTGCTTTCGCCAAGGCTAGAAAAAAAACCTGAGGAGAATCACTCCACTTTCCGCAGTTCTGCTCTCTTGCCTTTGTCATAGCTCATGATCATTACCCAGCCCAGTAAATCCTTCTTTAACGCACCAAAATTACTTTTTACACAGTGGGTGGTATTCAACCAAGTTTTACTCTGAGCTGATCCATTGAAATAAATCAAGATGACTAAGTTTCACCCATTAATTTCAATAGGTCTATTTTAATAAAACTTACTTGAATACCACTTAATACATCTAAGACTGTTCAAACCAAGGTGCCTCTGCACTAGACATTTAGTGTGGATTTGCCATGCTTCACTTACCCACTTTCTCCAGGGCATCCACATGATGCCATCATCCAACCATTCTCATGCCATATTTTCCCTGTGGTCTTGAAAGACCAACTTTTTAAGGAAGGACAGGAAGCATAGGGCTGTTTCCAGTTTTAGATGCCTTTAGTACTACTCTCCTGCCTTTTAAAGAGTGGGGCTTTGACATGGACAGCAACATACCAGAAAAATAATCATATCACTGCTCAGCACACATTCATTATAACAATTATATTAAGTGTCAGTTTATTACTGCTTTTGTTATTTTAATTGATCTTTCAATTATCATCAAAACACTTTTCCAGTTATAATGTGAGTTTTTCTCCAATTCTCCTTGTGCTCCATTCAGGAGAGTTTCAGAAGATGGCTAGAAGAGAATCCACTGATTTTCAACATTTGCCCACATTCAGTATTTAGAGCACAGTAAAGTACTTTGTTATCTTCTAACCTTTTCATAGTCTTCATCAGTAAAGTCTCTGTCTCTCTGGAGTATTTCATTAAGGCGTGCCTTCGCACGATGTTGGCAGCTGCTAAGAGAGTCACTGTCACTGTCGAGTAGCCCATTCATATTAGCACTTTTGACCATCTGGACAAGTATAGGAGTAAGCTCTCCCTCCAATGCCAGGAGTCCCTGGGTAAACAAAATAACTGAGTGATGAGGGAAAATGTGGCAAATAGTCTAAAGCACAAAAGTGAACATTGGTACTTAACGTGATAAGTTCTTTTTCTGTAGGGAGAAGGGGGCTCCCGTGTGGGTTGTCACCACTCACCTCTCAAACTTTCAAGAGGGTACACCTGGTGTATCCCCTCACCAGTTCAATTCATCCTTAAGCAAGTAACTGTATACCTATAGGTACTAACTTTCTACCTATTGTTAATAGGTATTGCTTTTTAGTGATTATTACACTATAGTCTACACCCAGGCAGGTAATACAAGAAAAACAATACGACTGTGGTGTCCACTTTTGATTAGAGAATATGGCTTGGAGCAGGGGTCATCAACCCAGTGCCCATGGGCACACCATGGCACCCATGAAGTCTTTCAGTGGTGCCCCTGAGTAGAGGCCCTGGACTTTGAGCTTTCAATTGAAAGAAAAGTTAGTCTCCAGCAATCCTGGAACAAAGGTTATCAGGCAAAATGTGCAGGTACCTTCTAAGCAATTTCTTTGAAATGACAATAGTAGGGATACCTTGTATATTAGACAGCAACACCATGTTTGTGTGGTGTCAGATCAGCAGCACATAATCAACTTCCCATGGCAAGTGTAAGGTTGTTGGGGGTGATTGTCTCTCTTATGTTGTGTTATGCCATGCACCCCATGACAGCCATTTTGTGTCTGCCATACCTACCTCTATCAAAATTTGAAATGTGTCCATAAGCCCCAAAATGTTGGCAGTCCCTAGATTAGAATGTCCAGCACCTATTCTTTATTTTCATTTAAAAATGTATACATTTTGAAAAGTTTGCCATATATACTTCTGTAAGTCATGAGAACAAAAATACATGCATTTGACCACTACTCTTATATGATATATCATATAGCACGCCATTGTTTTACCACAACAAGAAAGAAGCAATTTATAAATTTCACACACAGAATGACTGGTGCAGGGACCCCAACTATAGGGGGCAGAAGGGGTTATGGCTCCCTCAGTAGTGGTGGGCAGGGAGCTGAGCCCTCCCCAATATTGAGACGACTGCCACCCCCCACCCCCGCACGAGCGCTCATGTGCCAAGCAGCGGCAGAGGAAGGGGGTGCCGTCCACCCCGGGTGTCATCACTGAGAGGGGTGACAAAATGACCAAAATATGAGTTTTAAAAATAAAAAATAAAAAACTGGGCTGATGAAACTTTTTAGTTCAGTCAACAAACGTAATGAAATGCGGCTGGCACCATACCGCGGGGGCCGTCACTCCTGGGAGTGACGTGGTGGCTTGGGCGCCTGCAGGCTCCATGCTGCCTGAAATGGGGTGTGACTTACGTCTGCCCTCTGCCTCTCCCTCAGCCACCCTACAGCTGAGGGGGAGGCAGCAGAGAGGCTCAACGCAGTGCGCCTCGCCCCATGGGGCTTCCCAGCCCCGGCTGCAGGATGCACGCGCTGCCCCCAGCACCCAGGCAGCTAGCTATGCCGCTGGTGCCAAGCAGGGGTGGGATGCATCACGTGACACCGCCCCCCCCCATGTGGCGGGCAAGTCAGCGCCCCTGGACTGGTGTGTGGGAAGGGAGGATTACTCACATTGAACTACTAATCATAAGTGAGAGGAAAGCATGTATGATATGAAAGTAGGCCAAGTAGCTAATTTTGCATGTCTTTAATATTTAAACAGTTTTTTTAAAAAAAGAAGTTCATCGTACAATCTCCGAAATTTTCTTATAAACAGCCTGTATTCCCTTCCCATCTTTCAGTTGAAATTATAATTTTCATAGTACCTTTGCAAAAGCTGCCGCAGTCATTTGAACTCTGCCTTCATCCGAAGCATAAATTTTGAGATCATGCCGATAGGTACTATGCAGTCTAAGTAAACCACATCCTGGAAATCCAGCATAGTCACCTACCAAAAGAAAAACAACCTTATAATTTTGCTTCTGTTTCTTCCCCCCCCCCAAGTTCTCGGTCTAAAGAAATGGCTTCCTTTGCCACCAATAAATGAAATGAGTTACCTTGTCCACCTGGGTACATGCATCGGAAAGCTCTTCCTAGTTCCTCTGCCTGAACTCTGCCTGCAGGTGTTAATTCTCCTCCCCATTTTAGAACTAAGAGTAGAGACGGCTCACGTTTGTGGCTATCTAAATGCATACAAAAATACCACAATGCAAAATAATAGGTAAATAAAAACTGAGGAAGAACAACTAATTTACACCTAAGTTTCATATGCTAGAACAATTTTTTAGCAGATAATTTTCTATTTCTGGTGAGCTGAAGTAACTTGAAAAACAAAGGGGTGGGTCTAAAGAAGCAGCAACAGAAATGTGTGGATGGAATATACCGTATTTTTCGCTCTATAAGACGCACTTTTCCCCCTTCAAAAATGAAGGGGGAATGTGTGTGCGTCCTATGGAGTGAAGAAGCCATAGCCCCGCGACCCTCTCCCGGCTGGAGAGGTGACGCGCGGCTATGGCAGCAGCCTCTTTGCTGCGCACCTTTCCGCTGTTCCCGACCTGCTCTTTGGGGCTAGTGGTGGGCTTCCCCCGCCAGCCCCAAAGAGCAGGTCGAAAGGAACCTGAAGCCTGGAGAGCGAGAGGGGTCGGTGCGCACCGACCCCTCTCACTCTCCAGGCTTCCAAGGTAGCCGCCTGAAGGCGACTGAACACACCTTAAACGGCACCTTGTTTTAGAGGGGGGAAATTCTCCCTCTCTCTGCGCAGCGCCTCCTGCCGCTTTGCTGAAGGGGCGCTGGGCAGAGAGGGGGGGTTTCCCCTTGTTCTCCCCCCTCTAAAACAAGGTGCGTCCTATTGTCCGGTGCGTCCTATAGTGCGAAAAATATGGTAACTTTCTTACCCACTCCTCATCCCAGCAGCCTCTCCCAAAAGTTTAGAAACCCTGATGAATGGGGTAGGCTATGGCACCTGGGTAGGGGGAAAGTACATCTCCCCATTTTTTGGTGATCCCCCTCTTCTTTCTCAACCCCCTACACCACAGTCCACACCATTCAACAGAGCCCAGGGCCCATGGAAAGGCTGCTTGAAATGAAGGGGTAAGAAAGTCTCACTTTGCTCACCCACTTCCAACAGTATTTGTCTGATTCAAATACAGTATGTTTGCAACACTGAAAAAATGGAAGAGAGAATAGAGATTATTCAGCCGGATAAACATTTTAATATGATGAATGGTGGGCTAATCAAGTACATTCCTGTCAGGGACCAAACTGGCTAAGTTAAAGAAATATTACTTTTTCTAATATATAAAAATGTGAGGATCCAAAGAACAGTGATACTATTCAGAGCATCAGGGATGAGTTTCGGATTGGATTTGTAGATTCCGAAACAGCAGCTGCTCATGCTGTATGGCAAATTGCTTCTGCAATTCAGGGGAATATCAAAAGCTGCTTGCAATAAAGCACTGGAAGGGAGAGTGTTTGATGTTCAATTAAGAAGTCAAACATTGTACTTACAGCACAACCCTATTCATGTTTATTCATAAGTATCACTGTGTTCTGTGAGCTTACTGCATAGCAAGTGTGTTTAGGATGCACACCAGCCCTAAAAGTTGATATTTTGCTGATGACCAGAGAGAGCTAGGAACAAAATGTAATTAATAAACTTAAAAAAAAACCTTACATGTTTCCAACTTCAGCTTTTTTGACAATAAAAGTGTTAAAAAGCAAAATTCAGTTACACTAAGCTAACAGAGGGACCAACTTCTAGAATTAATTAGCATCCATACCTTCTTCTTCACTAGATGTTTTGGGACAACCATGAGGAAGGTACGTCAGCTGAACTTTGCGGTTTATGCCAGAAAAATGTCCATACCTAAGAACGACAAATGGAGAATAGGGGAAGCAAGGAGCACACATTAAAAATGAACTTGATATATATCATGCAGCCTTGTAAGTGTGTGTGTGTGTGTGTGTGTGTGTGTGTGTGTATGAAGCTATTGCATTGCTGCCATGATGAAGAATGCCTTTCCTGCACTGTACCACTTCATCCTGAAGGTTTCAGTACTTCCTGCATATGTACAGCAAGCATGTTAGGCAAAATGAATTTACTTAACATTCTTACTTAACTGGCAATTTTCTCTGTAAAGGGAGTTTGTTTTCATAGTAGAGAATTCAAGCACCCAACTTCCACCTGCAGTCTGAAGTAGTGTGCAGGATAAGCTCTATCACTTGATTCTCTGATAGTAACCCTTGAACGGCTTAACAAAGCAGAAATTCACACAGCAGGTTAGTGTAGGCCAGTCTTCCCAAACTTGGGTGTCCTCTAGATACAATTCCCATCAACTATTACCATTAGACCATGCTGGCTGGTGCTGAGCTGGTGCTCAATCTCTTAAAGCAGCGGTCTGTGGGCATATTTGCAAAGCAGAAAAAACTGTCATGGACACCACACATATTTCAACCAAGCACATGCCACAACCTATTCTACTGGCTGCAGTAGAATGCTTCTTTCAAGCCTAATTCAATGGGAAAGATGACCCTATGGACAGTGGCGGAGAGCAGGCGGGGGCATGGCTGGTGCGTGTCCCGGGGGCATGGCGTGCCACCTGTGGGGGTGTGGCACCCAGCACGGGCACCCCAATGGGATCGCGCTGCCAGGGGTGGTGCGCTCCCCCTGCACCCCTCTTCCTCCGCCAGTGCCTATGGACACTGGGAAAGGCTCATTGGCAACTTTTGTCTCAAACCATAGTTAAAAGATCAGCAGAAGCAGGATAAATATGCGCTCTCCCCAAATTCCCTCTGCCATTCTCCTGCAGGCCTTAGTTATCGTTTATATGTCTCTGCAAGGAATATACATGCACAAAATTTGCATTCAGTGGTTCATTAGAAATAGATTTCGTGCTACCTAAAATTCTGAAGATGCAGTAATAGTGTGAAAGAGTCAGAAACTGACTAATAACATGGATTAGTTCACATATTTCAGATTAACAATGTGGTTGAACTCTCTTTGTTCCTTAAAGAAATCTATATATAAAAAAATAATACATGAGAAAGATACCCGTGTCAGCAGTAAGATCTCCAAATTAAATACTTACATCTCCAACACAGTTTTCAGCTGTTCAAGTTTAGATTTGTTTTCTTCAATCTCAGAGTCATTATTTTGTCCTAGCTCTATTAAGAGGTGTCTTGCAATGTCAAGTACTTCCTAAAAGAGTGGCAAATTGTATTAGCAGTTTATGAAGACAGGTGTGAGTGTAAAAAAGAAAAGATTTTTTTTTAAAAAAACCCAACTTGCCTGTAATTGCTTCGGCTTTTTTAATTTTAGCTTCCCAGACTTGTATCCATTGCATTTTTCAAAAAGATCAAAAAACCTTTAAAATAAGCATGGAATTATTAGAAAGGCAGGGAATTACTTTGCCAGAAGTCACTAGGCCAAACTAGTATTATTTTCTGGTTTTAGATTTTTATAATAGGGAAAAGAATTGCTCATTGTTCAGGGAAGCTTTTAATGTTTGATGGATTACTGTATTTTAATATTTTGTTGGAAGCCACCCAGAGTGGCTGGGGAAGCCCAGCCAGATAGGCAGGGTATAAATAAAATTGTTGTTGTTGTTGTTGTTGTTGTTGTTGTTGTTGTTGTTGTTATCAACCCCAAACCAGATTATTCATGTCTTCACATCTAGCAAATGACTGTTTGGGAAGCGTGTGGATGTTAACACAAAACAATGTATTCAGTTATGAACTTTCCATATATTAACTGATGGTCTTGAAAAGACTTTGCACCACGTTGTATATGCAGTCTCTACGGAATAGTATCTCAGGTCACCATTCTGTGGCTTTTGCTCCCTGAACATTCGCCAAGGCTTATGTTTATAAGCCATTCTCAAGCCAGTTTTGAAATAACTAATAATATACATATACACTTAGAAAGTAATGAAGCTGGTGTAAAGCGAGCCAGTCAAAGTTAAGCTGGTGTAAAGTTCAGCCAGGGTTGCTGCTTTGCCTAAGCCTTGGCGCCAGAAAACAAGCCCTTAAAATAGTGTTCTGCACTGGATTGCAAGGTTACAAAACCAAGCTGAATGGGCTTAGGATGCCATAACCCTTTTCTGGGATTTACACCAGCCTTGACTCAGCCAGCTTCTCCTCAGCCATCTGAGCAAGTTATAATACCAGGGTATCTTTGGCTGAGCCAGCTGAGCCAGAAATCAGCAAGCTGAACTGGAGATCCACTGCATCCTAAGTAGCTCATACCAGTGAATCTTGCCATAGGTCTGCCCCGAAGAGTTCTGTTTTATTTGTTTTAAAAATTATATATACTGTAGTTACTTCAGTGGAACTTCCAGGGCAGTTTACAAAATACAGAAGTAAAATTAAACTTTAAAAGCAGAGAAAACAAAACATTTGATGCTACAGCCTCTTAATACATAAATAAAGATGAAAAATCAAATTAAATGTCAATAAACGCAACACAGATGCACATCTATGCCCCCCTCGGTTTAAACAATTAACTTACTACATGTAATGGGGAAAATATCAAATTTGTTCATTACATCCCCCCCAGCCAATTACTTACTTTTGATGTTTAACTTCCATTTTCATTTTTTGTTTTGGTGTTCGATCTCCATGCCGTATAACAGCAATAACACATCTAAGTTCCATCCTGCAAGTATACAAAGATTTAAAAGCACAAAGTTTGATTGACATTAACAGCAACAACAAAAATATGAAAAAGAGGACATGTAAATATGATTTCTCATATAAATATTAACGAAACATTTCAACGAAGATGTTGTTGAATTATTCTAAACTGAAAGTGAGAGAATACTGAGAGATAAGAAAAATAGAAAATGTTACATAGTCAGGTTGCATAATTTAGACAGAGAAAAAAATATTCTCTTACATTGTTCCAGATGTAGTTGGCACAATAGGAATATCCTCTGCTTCTAAAGGTATGGACCATGGGATTTGAAACTGTGGAGCAAGTTCTCGCATTACGATATTTCTAAATGGAATAGAAATAAGTGTTTGCTGAAATTAATAAGTCTACATTAATAACAACAATTAATAATTTGTCTAATAAAAACAAGTTGAAAATGATTAACCCCTTAATGAACCATACCCACATATGTTATGTTCCACAAATAACGTGCCATTCTTTAATAACCAATCATGCTTCTTCTAAAACATTTTTCCCTAATCCTGAAGTTCCTAAAGTGGATCTCAGTGCCCTGAACACTTCATTTCTGCCTTTGTGTGTGGGTATGCCAGTGTTTTACTTTGAACAGCCAGCTGTGCTAGTGAAGCCATGGCTTCTAGCTGTCTGCCTTCTTCCTTTCCTTAGAATGCCTCTGAGGAATTCTTTGCTTTCCAGCATGCCTAAAAAAATCCCTTTTTAAAATACAGAAAGGAAAAAGGACTCATGCTGCTGCATGGTAAGCTTGGGGATGGGGAGGGGAACAACCAGGGATGGCTTGTCTCTTTGTGTTTTATTGAGTAGGTTGTATTTTGCCTTTCCCCAAATAGGGCATAAAGTTTTGGTGTTTTATTTCTCTAACAGATATCTTGGCAAAGTTGCACAGAAACTATACTGGGTATGCATGCTCATTATGGGCATCCTAAATAGCTGTCGTTTTATCTGAATTAATTGTGTTATCTAAAAGATCTATTTTGCAAGATACATTTTCCAACAGGTCAACCACACTGAGGACAGTATTCAGCTAGCTCCTACTCAGAAGAGACCTACTGAAATTAATAAACCTGAATTAGTCATGTCCATTAACTTCAATGAGTCTACTGTGAATAGGACTAGCATTGAATACCACCACAGATATTCTATTTACTTTAAATAAATTATGAAAAGGAAACGGTCTGACAAATAGCATAAAATCTTACCCAAGGATTTTAGCACAATCATCATAATATTTCATAGAATTCTTCACAAAACTAAAGCCATTGACATCACAGACGTAAGATTGTCCATTTGCACGCAACAGATCAAAGCCACAAACTGTTTGCTGTCAAGACAAGAAATCACAAGATTTATAAATTTATAAAACTTCAGATAATTATCTACAGTAAAAAACAAATGAACAAAAACTCATCTCTTCCTCAAGGATCAGGTTCAACTTCAAATGTATTTAATGAATAGCTTCTCCTCACAGAAGGTCTCACTACTGCATTTTTAAAAAGCTTTGGATTAAAGTCTAACCCTTATCTTAGCCCTTCAAGCACTGAGATACATTAATAAAATAATTTACAATACATAGTACCATGTAAATGTATTTCAATCTTATAAAGTAGCATAAATATTAGCAAAGGACTCAGTTCAAACAGCCAAAAAATATAGGTCAGTCACAAATGATGCAAAAAGCACACACATTCTATCTGGCTCCCAAGTTTGTGTAATGTAGGTTCTATTTACATATTTGTCTTAGCATACTTTCTCTCCTAGTCAGAAGAAGAGAAAGAAGGTCTTGTTCCCCCTCTGCTGCCTAACAGGGAACAGCATTTGCTGCCTAGGCACAGTGGCAAGGGAGTGCATGGCTGGCTGCCAACCTTGGTATGGCTGGCAATGTAGTATTTCTGCTCTTCTCACCCACATGGGAGGCTAGGAGACTGGGAAACGGGGCTCCCAGGGCAGACCTTGGTGAAGACTTCACTCATCCAGAACCACTCTGGGAGTACTTAAGGTGAGCTGTGGAGAGCTGTGGAGAGTGGAGTCACCACAGTGGGCATCAGAATTGCCCTCCCATCCTCCCTTTAATATACTGGTTTATAGGTTGTCTGCTGGAGAGTGACAGTCCCACTTTGACCTTGCTATGGATCATTTTATCACACTGTTTGGCCAGGTCTGCAGGTTTTGCGTACTTCAGAGCAATCATCACAACTTTACGGTAGAAAAGCCATTAGACTGGATCACTACTGAGGATGGGCAGAGGGAGAGACCCCTCTCAAGTTGTCTCATAGGAGGATCCCCTTAAAGGATTTTGGAGGGCTGCACTTTTTATCCAGATGCCAAATCACCCCCTACTGCTGATCATTGGGGGTTCCCCATCTGTGCTACCTCCCTCCCTAAATTTTGGTCAACCCCAGTGCTTCATCAACCAGCAAGCAGGCTGGTGGATCCTTGTAATGCAATGCCTGATGCCTATGCCAAACCTGTTGCATCCATAATAAATAAAGATGTGGTCTAACTTGAATCCAACACCTGTCTCCTGTTTCATCCTTTGCTTGTGTGCTCCACCACTGCCTCACTGTGTTTGGGCTTGAAGATAACAATTCTATAACAACTCAAAGCTAAGGAGATGCCCTCTGGGGTAAACAAAGACCACTTTCTCCAGCCTTCATTCATTTTACCTTAAAAGCTAGGCATACTTTCCAAGCTATAAGCTTCTCCCTTGCATTAAGGATGACTGGATACCGTACTTCTTTCCCTTCACTGTCCCGCTCTACTTTTCCATCCAGTGCAGGGGATTTACGAGCTTCTGCATGTGCATAATCTGGTCCTACTGTGTATACCTTTATTTGGAAATAAAAAAATACAACAGAATAAAAAACTTTTTTTTTTTTGGTTCATTACTTTTTCATTTCATAGTCAGCTCCTGAGCCTCTAAAGTCATACTCATTACTTTCACATCATGGGGAGATTAGTGACAAAATGAAAAGCGCTACAAGTTCCAATGCTATACTGTATCCATGTCCCAATTGGCAATCTAATCTTGCTGAAAGTTTCACATTACAGCTTCTGCTACTACCAATTTATTTAACATGACTCCTAATCAGATAGCTTACAATCTTTGGCCAGGATTCAAAGAATGTGCAATCAGCTCTGCATACCCAAAGGGATTTAGATTCATTTTTCTTTAAACTGCTCCCTGTCCACATCACATGGCAGCCAGATAATGTACTATGGGAGTTTCAAAAGCAGTGGTATGTTTCTTCAAATAAAAAAAGTAAAAGATTTCTCTCGTCTTGCCTAAAATAGCTCTCTGAATCCAACCCTTTGTACAGGATGAACCCACAAAGAATTATAAGTAGGCACAATTGATTTGTTAGGATTATATTATATCTATAATTATCAAACTTCCAAACACTTAATTTTGAAAAGCCTCATGCCAATCTGTAGTTACAAGTTGCAATTTTCCTATGTAGAAATATTTTGTCTTAGTTTTCAAAGAATTTTGACAAATAAAAAAAACAACAAAATCCAGCTGCTGTATGATTAACTGATAATGAATGTTTAGGCAGCTTTGGAGACCACCAAGAGCTACATCAACTGCTCACAGAAATGCTCCATGATTGCTGAAGACAACTGTTTCCAGACTGTACAGATCAGTCAAAAACATCTCAGTATTTGAAGCATAGTTTTATGGTTTAGGAATGCAGGTCCATCCCTATACACTTTCTTGGAATTTTGGTCTAACACAATGTACTTTATTTTCAAGAAAGTATGCTTAGGATTGAAATGTTAGAATAATTTCATTTCGGGACAAGTGTATTTGTCTGAATACACATTCAGAAAACAGTATGGCAGCATGTTTATATTCTTTTTGAATGGTAAACTGTAATCACAAGAGTATCTAGAGAGAGAGACAAACTAAAACATGAAGTGTTCCTTTTACTTGGAGAAAACAAAACATGATATGTAAACTATTTTAAGTTTAATAATAGCAGTGCTTCAGGCAGAGATAAATGCCTCACATCTAAAGTTGCTGAGTTCGTTAAGTACTTGATTGTTCTAAATATAAACCAGAATATGCAGTTGTCATACCTTCACATCAGTGCCATCTGTAGGCATGAACTCCTCATAGATATATGAACCAGTTTTCCGCACACTGCTTTCAGGGGAATAAACACTGCTTCTGCTACCAATCTGAAACACAAACCTTCCCATCAATATTATTTCATACAAAGACAAAGCCTTCTCAGATCCATAAAACCCTGTACTTCTTTCGTCATCCCTCCCTAGCCTATTTTCCCCCAAGCACTTCAAAAGTAAAACCAAAAGCAACCTTATGTTATAAAAGTTTAGTGTGGTGTAAAAAGGGCATAAATGTTTAAGAAGGAAAGAGAAAAACCTAGATAGAACCTAGAAAGAGAAAAACCTCCCATGACATAAGCAGACCCAGAAAATTCTCTAGGCAGGTAACCTGAGGTCTCTCAAGTTCACAGAGCATGGAAATAGAAAGGGGCAAACATTCTCCACACCCACGCTACTCTGCCCATTCCAAAACACCACCACTCAGTCCAACCTTGCCTCAGTAACACATGAACTTTGCATGCGAAAGATCCAATGGTTTAATCCCTGGCATTTCTGGTAGGGCTGGGAAAGCCTTGTTAGAAGCCCTGGAGAGCTACTGAGGTGGACTAATGGACTGACACAAAATAAACTCTCAGAAAACTTCTGGTGGTGATGATACACAGTGTGTGAGATTGCTCCAAATGAGAGATGGGGAGATAAACAAGTTGTGAGCTATTTTGAACACATTTTTTCGTGGAAAGGTGACACTAACTGAATGAAAACTACATCATTTGACTAACTGAATGAAAACTACATCATTTGCTCATTATACATTTCCATATTACAGAGCCATCCTCTGTCATGTTATTCAGTGGATAACCATTTCTATTACTGGAGATATTCTCTTACCCATTCCCATTTCACTCTTCCTTATGGGTAAAGTCCATTGTACACAATTTAGCTGCAACCTTCCAGCTAATGCGATTTCCAACATTCTCCTAAGAACTGAGTAAGTTAGTTCTTTCTGCCCTATAAATACATTTCAGTGCTTAAAAAACATTTTTACTATTATTCAGTTTAACATATTCTCACTTTCCGAAAGAGCCTCTGACTTCCACCACCAGCAGATGTTGGATAGTAAATATAAACATTGTGGTCCTCAGCACTGACGGGCTTCTCCACAAATGGTTTTTGGAAAACTTCTCCGTTCACCTCCACATGATCTTCGCCTTCAATCAAATTGCATTCTGGAAAATAACATGAAGTGCAGACTTTAGGCTGGAGATACAATTAAGAGATCAAAATTTCATCAAACCTGGAGGAGGAGGAGAATGGCTTGAACCTCTAATATAGCACTGCATCAAGCAAGCAAGATTACTAATCAGAAAAAAAAATGTTTAGAACAGAGCCTTTTGAAAATTCCATTATAATAGCCATTACCTTGTGGATTGTTTGGATCACGGATTAGAACTGCGTAACGAGGGAGCAAAATACCTTCAGCTTCGAGAATGCCATAAACCTCTCTCCTAAAAGAATATTTTTTTCACAAAATGAATATTATCAATGAATTATGCATTCAAAACATTTCTCTAAAAAGTCGCATAATTACTATTATCAATGAATTATGCATTCAAAACATTTCTCTAAAAAGTCACATAATCACTATATAAGGATGGTATCAAAGTAGCAAGATCTGGATTTTACTTCCACTACCCGGGTTCTGGTATAAAGTGGGTACACGTGAACATACCACTCTTCAGGGAAGTAGCTTAAATCTGCCCAGACAAGGAGAACAGAAGCGTACACCACCTCTCCTCAAGGAAGATAAGGAGGACACATTCATTCATTAATTGGGAATTGAAGTATAGCCTAGAGCATTTCTTGTATCTGTTGAGTGTCTAGCTTTGACAAATATGCACAATTTACCCATGGGGCATATTCTTTTTTACATTCTATTGCTTTCATGACTATAATTTATGATTATAATCTGCGCAGGAACACATAATTGGAACAGACGCTAAACTGTATCCTGTTCTGTTTACTGTACTTTCATAAACTTAATATTATTTACTGTTTTAAGGTGAACACTCTATATATATTTCTTAGCTGAATATTATTACATTTTAGTTACATTACAGCTTTTTACTAGCTTTCTTTTCTTTATGTTAACTACTTTACCTCCATAATAATCAACCTGATGAGACAGCATTTCATTGAGGCCTTTTAAATATCGTACTAAGCACTTGTTCTTCAACAACTAGAGTGTGGGATATTTATTTATGGCTATTTACTTACCTGTCCTGTATGTGATATTGCATATTCAAGTCATTAATAACAAAAGGATTCCTCAGCTTTGAATAGGCAACTGCTTTGTCTAATGGAAATCCTAAATAAAAAATATTACAGAATATTAGTTCACAACTATTACATTTGTATAAATCTTGGTGATGGATTGGAATTCTTACTTTCCAAATTGAGCTATGTGAAGAGGCTGTGCAAATGATCTGTAATCCCTTCAACTGTGAATAGTATCTGGTTTCAAGTGAGTCTATTCATATTGATCCAACCGGCTTTAAAAATTTCCTTAGTTTTTATTCCTTGTTTTAGTCAGCTAAGAAAGGATAAGTTCCCATTATTTCACTGCATTGGACTTCTCCCATCCCAAAGTGGCCTTGCTTTTAAAAGAAGGCATTGATGCACCAATTGCAGTACAATTATCAGCATATTTGCTTAGAAATGTGTATTTTTTATTTCAGTGAGACTTGCTCACTAGTAAGTGAGTTAAGGAATGTGGATGTATATCGTATGTAGTTTTTGCCCTTGCTCCAAAAAGGGTACTAGCACAAGGTTATTATTGCCTGCTGGCAAAACAGTAAGTGGCTGACCGATTGGTTTAAAAAAATAAATAAACAGTACACCCACTTTCTGTTACCATCACAGAAAGCATGAACCCTTTGCAAACTAGAGCTGGAAATCCTAGTTTTGAGCAGGGAAGCCCCAGGTGGGTAAAAGCTCTAAATTCTCCTCCCTCTGAATAGACATTGCATTTAAAATATAAATAGGGGTTTCCATTATAAGTACTTTACTCTGAGTATAATATTCTAAACTTGCCAATGCACAAGTAAATTCCATATAAATAAATGGATTTCCTTCCAAGGAAGTGTTTTTTATTGCAGTGTGAAACAGGTTGACACTGTATATGCTTTGTAGCAAATAGGTAAGGTAAAGGTAAAGGACCCCTGGAACAGTTAAGTCCAATCAAAGGTGATTATGGGGTATGGCGCACATCTCGCTTTTCAGGCTGAGGGAGCCAGCTTTTGTCCACAGACAGCTTTCTGAGTCATGTGGCCAGCATGACTAAACCTCTACTGGCACACAGAGGACTGTGACAAGTGCCAGAGCACACAGAAACACCATTTACCTTCGTACTGTAGCCATACCTATTTATCTACTTGCATTTGTATGCTTTTGAACTGCTAGGTTGGCAGAAGCTGGGACAGAGCAATGGGAGCTCACCACTGTTGTGTGTATTGAAACCGCTGACCTTTCAATCAGCAAGCCCAAGAGACTCAGTGGTTTAGACCACAGTGAAATATCAAGTTAATTGAAACATTATGTCCCTTTTATTACTACAAACTACTGCTCTGGTTCACCAGAAGCGGCTTAGTCATGCTGGCCACATGACCCGGAAGCTGTACGCCGGCTCCCTTGGCCAATAAAGCGAGATGAGCGCCGCAACCCCAGAGTCGGCCACGACTGGACCTAATGGTCAGGGGTTCCTTTACCTTTTACTGAATTAATATATGCACACATATATACATTTTAAAATAGTGTTGCTTAAGGCAATTTATTTTCTAATATTAAAATTACAACATTTCCAAAAAGGCAAAAAGATTCAAACTTAATACATGCAATATGAAGACATTTTACATTATTGTGATTATAATGTGTTTTATTATTGATGTATTTGCCACCCTGACCTCCTTTGGGAGGAAGGGAAGGATATAAATTAATTAAATAAATAAACAAACAATAAACAATAGAGAGTGATTACCTTTAGAATGAAAAGAAATAAGACAGTCACATAAAGGCCAGTTTTCCACAGGTTCATTCAAAATCACATCTTCTTCAAATATTACTACTGTGATATATTTAAACATGGAAAGGCGTTCAAGGATCTCATTCATTGGTTTTGATTTTGATTTCTTTGCCATAGAACATATTCCAACCATGATCTGTCTTTCTGGTGGCTAGTAATAATAATTTTAAAAAGGTCAGTAACATAAATTTGGGTTTAAAAGCTTTTCACCATATGCTAACTGAACAATGACCATGCAATATTCTTACTAAGTATTAAGCAACAGGCTCATTTCACAAACATTTATTATGCTTAAGGGGCAGGGAATGTAACCTGATATCAGAGTTTCATTCTCTAAGCAATATGCAGTAAAAAAATTCTTCATATTTATGAAGGAAACAATATGCCTCAATACTCTTTGTGAAGAATACAGTCTTAACTGACAAGCAGGGTTGCAGAAACAATGATAAAACATAAAACATAGTAAGCCCATGCTGAAAGTTTTCTTAAAAGTGAAATTGTCCACAAAGGCATTAGCTATGTCCCATCTACAACCTTCCAACAAACTTAACCAACCATGTAAATCTAAGAGTACCACTTTCAAGTAAAAATATTCCTCTGACTGGAATAAATTTACAAAGCGACAGCTTCAGAAACCCCATTAATTTCAATGTCACTTGTGAAGGATGCCCATGAAGCTGTGGTAAGAAGCTGTATGACAGCAGTGTGTTGGAATGTGTCTACAATAGTACGTGACTATGATGATACTTGAAGCAACAAAATGTTTCACAGCTAGAAAAAGAAATAAATACATTCTGCATTTATTATTTAAACAGGTGAGAGACTTAACTTTCAATCCAATAAATGAAATTTTAGTCAATAAGAGTGAAACGAGAATGAAACTAGGATATTAGTACTATATGATTTTTACTTTAACTGTTCTTCTTCAAAATGACCATTCAACAACTGTAAGTAAAAGCTATTTTTAATAAATAAAATAGCTTGTTCCATAAATCTTTCCAAATCTTAGAATCTAAGATGTTAGTTTAACCATAACTGTTTCTTAATATTGCAATTATGAAACTTTGGGGCTCTTCTAAATAGTTTGAACCTGTTTCTTAATATTGCAATTATGAAACTTTGGTACTCTTCTAAAAGCTATCACTTGTGATTTCTACATATTGTATAAACTGCTGAAACTGGTCTTGATCAATTTGGTTTTAATTTAGCAAATGCCAATGTGTTTCTTTACAACTATACCTAACTAAGCATTTAAACACTTTGCTGAAATGGGGCCATAGTGCTTACTGCTTTTTATGCTCATTTCCTATCTTCTCTGTTAACAACGCTTTAGTATCTTATCAACTCAAACAATTACTTGCCCCCAAACAATGAAACAAAGTACATACAGAATCATACTCATCGTCTTCATCTTCATGATCATAAAAGGCTTCAAATTCTGCAGACCTGGATGGATTCAAAAACTCATCTGGATCTTCACCACCCACAAAAAATCTAGGAATTTCGCCTTCGGTTGCAGTAACAGACATGATTACAAATCCTAAAAAAGATCTACATAGAAACGGCAGTCACTCTGAGAACTGAGACACTGTACATAATTCCCAGTGGCTAGGGTAATAAAAATCCTTGCCGTCTGACACTGCTTACGCAGTTGCTTGTTACTCTGATAAAGTCAGCTGCCAAGTGCAGTTTAATTGATATCATCTGTCCATTGTTTCGAGTTGTTACATTCGTGAAGAAGAACCATGCAGGTTACCGCTTCCCTGAGATACTTTGGCAAATTTCAACCCTGGTAAAAGAGAGAAAAGTAAAAAGATTGAAATATTCCTTACTGTAATGAATTACTGAGAGATATTTAAGATAACCTACCCAAAGCTACTTAACTTACTGCAAAATTTAAAGCTATTATTCACAATAGCCAAGCAATACAAAGCACCAAAAATAAAATTTATATTGAAAGATAAACATGTAAACAATGTGGAAGTGTCATTTAACAGGCTGAATCATATCCACTTATTGCTCCTGAGAACCATGGAAGTAGAAAAAACAAGAGTCATCTGGGAATGGTAGACAAAGAGAAAAAGCAATGCAGAAACATAATGTCATATTTTACCACGTTCAGTAACAAAGTGGTAACAGCATTTGTGAATAAACCTAAATTGCAAAATTGAGTCATTTGTGTGCCAGGCTTTCCCCCCTGTCCTCCAACAAATACAAACATTATGCAACAGCAAAACTAGGGGCTAAAAGTTTAACAAATAAAAAGTCACAACATTTGTATATCTAGAAGCGTCATGGCTGACTAGCTAGAAGTAGTCTCTGAGATAAGGCCCAGTTCTGCTCTCACTGCTCCCCATGTTGCTATAGCTATGTCCACCAACTGAATCCCTTACATGATACAACAACCTTAATCCACTGGGGATCTAGCAAATGGAATATGGATTGTAGCTTCATAGTTCCTCTCAAGGAAAATGCACTGAATAAATTCTTACTGTGGCTAGGAGCCGGAAGATATGCTCCAAAATGTTACCAAGTTGCTAAACAAATTCTCAGGACTTGGGGAACCTACAGCATCCAAGGCAATAAAAAATGATTGAAAGTGGGGTGCAGGGAGAAAAGCAAAGCAAATAAAACTAAACTGCAGTCAATTTCCAGCTCAAGCAGGGAGGAGACTAACAGCCCTATGGTTTACCATGCATGACTCAGGTCAATGCAGGTGGGAGAAGGCAATAAAGTGTAACGTGAATTTAATGAGAAGGGATTTAATATCCTTCAAAAGGTAAAAGGGTTTTATAATCCAAGAAAGTAGAAAATCCCAGGCATAAATGAACACATCACTACAGAACAACTGGCTCTGACAGCTCTTCTGTTGCGTTATTTATAGCCTGGCAAGGGTGAAGTTTTTTCTAGGGGTCAATGTCCATGCATTTCCTCACATGCTTAAACCTTGCATGTTTTTTAAACCAGAACTTCATAGGTTTCATTGCTTGTTTTTAACATGACAGAAAGCAGTGGTATAGTTTCTGATGTCAACCAAATCTTGTACCAATTTCAGTAGGGCATAAAGTAGTATTTTGGCAGGCTAACGTAGTCCAACCCAAAATTTTTGGAAGCATTTGAAGAGCACCTATTTCAACACACACACATGATTACAATTATTATAATATTTACTGAAAAGTAGGTCACACTGATTTAAGTTGTGTGCACAGGATCACATAAGGTTTTTCCTGCCCACACTTCATACTGCCCTTTAGTTTCCTCACCTTTTCCTAAGGACATATGACAGATTTCGAACTCTGTCTTGTATTTACAGTCCATGGAACTGCCCTTGTTGAGCCATGAAAAGATGTTTTTCTTCCAGCCAAAGCTATCTCCCACCTCTTTCACAAAACATCATGAACTGCTCGTCAACATTCCACAACTGACTTTTCCTCCTCTGCACTTAAGAATGTTCATAAAATACTCTGGGGTATTCAGAAACTAAGCCAACGGAATGATAGGGGAAGGAACTCATGCCAAACTCACTCAAACTAGGGGGGGAACGGAGGAATTGAAGAATGCAAGAAGAGAAGAGGGTGGGTCACAGGATGCTCCCAATCTTCCAATTATGGCTTGTAGGATCAGAAACATGATATCTGAACTAAGTTATTTCTGTAAGATATTATGTTTATTTCCAATTTCTAAATATTCCATGGCATGGAAAAATATCTATAGTTTGGGGCAACAAATACATAACAGATCCACTGCTTGGTCTGAAAATTGATGGCAAAGGAAACAAAAACATGTGGTTAGAAATGCTTTCAGTGTTATTTATCAGAATCTATTATTTTGGTATTTGAAATCCAGCTACTTGTACAGTTCAAAAGTTATGTACTATATTTACTTGCTTCTAGTAGTACAACAGTACAATTTTCCCCCCTACCGCCTTTTAAGTCCATCATTGGACAACTGGTGTCAAGGAATTTTACTGAAGTGTAGATACATAGTTTAGCAGCATAAAGGATGAGGTCAATAAAGCTCCAAGGACAATATTTATTAGGTCATTGATAATGCCTAACCAACAGAGGGAAACACTACAAGAAAGGATTTATGTAGGAGTAATTAAAAGAAGTATAATAAAACAGACAATAAAATCTGATATTGATATGGATTGAAGGAAGGAATAATTAAATATCTAGGGTCCAAATACTGTCAATTAATGCAAGTGCCCAAGGTAGTAACTCCTCCTCCTCCTCCTCTTCTTCTTCTTCTCACCTTTTAACATGTTCTAGTAGTGTTAGGCATTATCAGTGACTAGGGATGTAAATTAAGGAACTGGAGTTGGGGGGAGAAAATCTGTATTTTTCTGACCAACTCACTGAAATTGGCACTCTTACAATATTTTTAAAGTAAACATCCTATTTAATAAAAAATGTATTATAGATCAGTCAGTGATTATAAATAAATAAATAAATAAATAAATAAATAAATAAATAAATAATTTATACCCCACCCATCTGGCTGGGTTTCCCCAGCCACTCTGGGTGGCTTCCAACAAAATATTAAAATACAATAGTCCGTCAAACATTAAAAGCTTCCCTAAACAGGGCTGCCTCCAGATGTCTTCTAAAAGTCTGGTAGTTGTTTTTCTCTTTGACATCTGGTGGGAGAGCGTTCCGCAGGGCCACTACCGGGCCACTACCGAGAAGGCCCTTTGCCTAGTTCCCTGTAACTTGGCTTCTCACAGCGAGGGAACTGCCAGAAGGCCCTTGGCACTGGACCTCAGTGTCCGGGCAGAACAATGGGGTGGAGATGCTCCTTCAGGTATACCGTTTAGGGCTTTAAAGGTCAGCACCAACACTTTGAATTGTGCTCAGAAACGTACTTTAGCCCACTTCATAGCCCTCAAACCAGAAAACAAAAGATTCTCAGAATAAAAATCACATTCAAGCCTGAGATCAGGTATAAAAATAACATTGTGTTCCTATGACATCAGAATTATTCATATGGCATTTCTTCCTCTCTTCCTTCCCCCTGCCTCAGCATCAACTTTCAGCCTCTACCTATTAGGCAACAGAGTAAACTGATGACCTCTGAGGCATCGGGCCATGATGGAGGCATACTTTTCCTTTCTTGTAGTTGGCAGCAACAGCTCCCACTAAGGACCTCTGAGACAAGGGAAATGGAGTGAGTAGCTAAAATGCACTCAGTCCACCATGGTAAAGACAACTCTTCCATTTAAATCAAAGTGATGAGATATACAAGTAGAACTTCACTTGCACTGCACAGCTTTGACCTTCCACTCGCAACTCCTTGTAACCCCTCCCCACAAAGGTTTCTCCGGAGGTTTGGGGGACATTCTGGAACATTAAATGATCTGGCACAGTTAGTTGTAGTAGGGTAAAACTGGCAGAAATCAGATGGGAAGCTGTATTAATGGAGAACTGCCTTCTGTTCACACAAATCATTCTCTGGGTGCCAACCATAATTAAAATCAACCTCATAAGAATCTAGGTTTGAAGTATCAGAACTTCCTTTCAGTGGAAAAGACCTGCTGTGCATCTATGGATAGACTGGACACCACATCCATACAATGGCTTTCCATGCAGTGCTGAATCGCTGTTCTTTCCCTGACTACCTTCACCTCCTCCAAACTTTTATTGTACTTCTGCTACAATCAACTTCACAGCCCTCTTTTCACTGTAAAGTACTAAATAAAACAACAAGAAAGTCACAACAACAACACTGGACAACGCTTCACTGTTTTCACACACTACTTTAACCCCCTCTCCCCAACAAAAATAGTATTATCAACCCCGTGTTGCAGATCTGGTATAACACAAGGTTCTCTTAGCCTCTGCAAAATGAATGCAATAATGATGTGACTTATCTGAACTGGTATTAATTATTTTTAAAATGTTTACAAACTCTGAAAAATCATATTTTTGTATGAGATAAGACCAGAGTTAAAGCTTGTCTTTGCTACTATCTATTGTTTTGACTTTACGCCCCAAATCCCCAATCTCAGCTATACTAAAATCTTGAATTTTAGTTTGAATTTTAGTTTTCTATGAGGCTGCAACACTTCACAAGAGAAGACCAGCATAAAAGACTTTAAAATGGACCAAGGAATTATGTTTCTTGGTTTTAGACAATGGGTGTTTCATTCTAGCCTTTTTTCCCCTTATTAGTTAGAAATGCTTTCCTAAAAGTCAGTAATGACTATGACTTCATCGTCTAAAAACACTGAATGGCAGAAGAAGGCTTGTTTCTCACAAAACCAATGAGAATAGTGGCTGCTTGTTTGGTCCCACAAATGCTAGAACTTTACTTTTGAAAAAATGAAAGCTGGGAATCAGGGGATTGTAGCTCTTCCTCTCCATAGATGCCCATGTAAGGGACCTTTATTGTTCTGATAGTGTTGATACTGCCACACATGAGAAGCACTGCTAGTAAGAAGCACCACTACTTAGCAAACATTTCAAAACAAGATTTGTTTAAATAATCCCACCAAAACAAATGATGCAGAAAATTTTACAACTTCAGAAATTTATATATATTATACAATTGCCCAGAACATGTTATTTTCTTACCGAGAGTTAAAGTGGAAAGCTGAACTATGTAGAAACCAAAAGCCACAAAACAGCATATTTGCTAAAGAGTTCCCTCTTCAGTTAGTTCTAGCACTGGACAGTGCTCATCATCAATTCACCTCCTAGGATAAAAGAAAGATTCAGACATGAATAGGTTTCTGTTGTGATCAAGGACAAGACAGCACATATCTGCAAATGGAGATTATGGGGAAATACAATATTGTAAGATACAGTTGCAAATTTTTTTTAAAGCAGCTTAATCCTACACACAATTACTCAGGACTAAGTCTCAGCTAGTACCCTTAGTAATATTGTTCTGAGTAAACGTACATGTGATTGGCTTGTAAGAAAGAAACATTAATTGGAGTTTGAAACTGAAGCCGGAGACTGAATATGAATCAAACCTGGAAAACATATTAATTTCAAGGTCTATATAAACACTTCCAAAGAGGGATTTATTATTTATAGTGACATACTACATGCACAGAACTAAAGGTCATGTCTTACAAAGCATTGTATGTTTATTGCTTTTCAATGCATTCTATCATAAACAGGATAAAAATAAGGTATCTGCAAGGCATCCAAGGGGTCTTAGGATATTGTGGCCTCTCTCTCTGCTGGTAGAGAATGAGGTCCATCCTGGATACCTCTTCATTGCAGCCACGGGAACACCTGAAACCATCTCTTACACAATAGGGGGTAAAGCAAGCAAGCCCTGTAGTTGTCCATTTCCACAACAATGGAAATATACACCAGTCCTGCAGCCACCGCTCTGGATTTTTCCATTCTTCTGCCACAAATTCCACTGCTCTGCTCCAACCCAACTGAAGCATGTTTTCTGATAAATTCCACTAAATTGATGAGATTTACTGTCAAGTGCATATGATTCAGCTATACATGTGGTTAATGCTGGAAAATAATTTCCCAGAAATGGTTCCTTACAAATATCTGTCGCCTCACTCTCAGATCACATATCAAAATGCCAGAACTAAGAATGTATCTAAATAATAAATACTTGCACCTGAACGGCCAAACACAAAAGCTGTTAATATTATTTATTTTTGTGTGTGGTAGGCTTGCCATTTGTCAACTCCAGTTTTTTAAAAAATAATATGCCCTTGCTCCATGAGAATGGCATTTCCCTTCTTTCTGTTTGTTGACATGATAGTTAATTCAACTAATTTTTTTGTTCTGTTTTAAAATTTAAAAACCCTTCACATCTTCAGATAAACAAACAAACAAACAATTTATTATTTAGGAGTATTTATACCCAACCTTCTAACCAAAGTTCTTGAGGTGGCTTACAGTATATTGAAAACATAATAAAATAGACATTGCTACAATAGTCACCACAGGAAGGCAAAGGTGCATTTAAGTCCCTCTTCTTGTTCTACAACATTCCAAAATAATAATAATATGTATTTCCGCAGCTGAATCTACTGGCCTAGAACTGCCTGTTTAAGTCTCTAGATGTTAGTTCCAGTCAGGCCAGGACTTCCACACTGGGTGGTTGCTGTTTATTACTCGCCTAGCAAAAACAGGTGGTGCTGGGGAGCAAAATTGTTACATGCCTCCCACCCTTCAATTATTTTCTCCTTTAGTTTTGATGAGATCCTAAACATATTTTGAATTGATTAGGTCTGATGAAATTACTATGTTTTATTTATTCTACTCTCTCTCAAACCTAATGAACCTCTTTAATTGGATTAGCAGCATATATTGTATACCACCCTTCGTCCGAAGGTCATAGGGCTGTTCACAACATAAAAATACAAAATGAGAATGCAAAAATACATAACAAAACAAAAACAGAAGACAAAGTATGTAATAAAACAAAAATAAACCAATAGCACCCCTTCTACAAACGTATTTGACAGGCCACAGAATGCTAATCAGCCAAAGAACTGCTTAGAGAGAAACATTTTTGCCTGGAGCATAAAGATATGTAATAAAGGTGCCAGGTGAACCTTCCAGGGGTGAGCATTCCACAAACAGGGGGCCATCGCAGAAAAGGCCTGTTCTTGTGTTGCCACCCTCCAGACGTCTCATGGAGGAGATACATGAAGAATGGATTCAGATGAAGTTTGCAAGGTCTGGGTAGGTTCAGATGGAGAGAGGCGGTCCTTGAGGTATTGCGGTCCTGAGCAGTTTAAGGTCAAAACCAGCACTTTGAATTGGTCCTGGAAACTTAAATTGGCAGCCAGTGCAGTTGGGCCAGGATCAGTGTAATATACTCAAATGGTCTTGCTGTGGTGAGCAACCTAGCCACTGAAATTCTGCACCAGCTGAAGTTTCTGAACTGTCTTCAGATGCAGTCCTATGTATAACACGTTGCAGTGATCTATATATGTATTATCTATATGGCTTTATTTGTAAAACAAACTTGTATCATTCTAGTTTCACATTACCTTGACACCACAACGAAACTGCAACTGTAGATACATTTGTTCTCCTTTTTGCAGAATTAGGCAATTTAATATAAAAAGAACATAAACCTTTAGTTACTTCAAGAGCAAATCTAAATGAATGTTATTATAATAAAGAAGAAGCAGAGTAATCCTGCTGGCTTTGTTAATAGCTCAAAAGGCATTGCTAGTAAGTATCGAAACTATTTTCATGGTTTGCACACTTTACAAAAAACTTAAGTCTGAAAGGCAACCTGCTCAAGGTCATTTGGTTCTGTTTAAAATAGATGTGCTGATGGAAACTACAGCAAGGAAGCTTGAAGGAGGAGCACATGCAATAGTTATCTGAACTCTAGATATGCAGCAGAAATCTTCATGTTTTTTAATATGTTAAACCCATTGTTTTTAAAGATGTTATTTGTACCTGTTTTTATGTAACTACTTCTTTGCTACATGTTTCAATTTTTAAAATAGCTATTTAAGCTTGTTTAACAAGGAGAGACACAGTTTTCTTGGAACATAAACACACATTGCATACAACTAAATTATACCCAGAAGGGACTCATGGAAATTATGGAGCTAAATATGTCACATCCATGAGTTTCAGTGAGTTTGCTCTGAGTAAGGCTAACACTGGATAGACTTTAGAAGAAGACAGATGGCAACAGGGACTTAATCTATTTGAAACTCGGAAGCATGAGAAGTAACTCTGTAACACTATTCCCAAAGAAAGTTCTACATAATCCAAGTAGAAACAAGGTTTCACATCTATTGCATTCTTTTTGTCACTGTCATACTTTCATGTTTATACTTTGCTTCTAGACTAGTCATCATATGGTTTAATATTTCTGCTATCTATGGTTACAATCCTAAATATATTTATGGTACAACCCTAATCATCTCCATTCAGAAGCAAGTTCTATTGAATTCCTTGTGGCTTTCTCCCAGGTAAATGGGTTTAAGTTTTGCACCTTTAACTTGCCAGTAAATCCTGAAAAAGACTGGGCTTACTTTTAAGCCAACATAGTAGGGATGAAACTGCAATACCTCCCTTTTATAGCTTGATCCAATGCAGAATTAGGTGTGCTTAAACTCACATCTATTTAAAACAGCTTAGGGTCACCTAACTCTGTAACTTATCAGGCTGTTAATTTGATCACCATTTGTTGTGCAAACGGCCTTCCTTCATCATCTCTTAACAACCAGCCTAAATATACCTGAGTCAACAGCTCTCTCAGACTTATTACACTTCAATGCCATTAATGAGTTCTAGAAAAATTTATTTAATGCATCAGGCTCAAGTATACCAGGTACCCTCTCCATGTCACTTGATGTCTCTAAAATGTCCTTGCCATAACAGTTAGAAAGTAGCTTATAGTTGACTGCAGAAAGATCCATATCAACAGTGTTGCTTCCCTACCCCCCACCCTCTTCAGTTGGTAGAGCATGAGACTCTTAATCTCGGAGTTGTGAGTTTGAGCCCCACATTGGGCAAAAGATTCCTGCATTTGAGGGGGTTTGACTAGGTGATCCTCAGGGTCCCTTCCAACTCTACACTTTTATAATTCTATGTATCATTTTTTTCTGGGTACACAGTAAAGGCACTTTTTCTAGATGAAAAGGGCTGGTAAAATAAAATAATAATTTCATTATTGTTACCTCATGCCACTCCGGGTGGCTTCCAGCACTGACACCTTTCCCACCCACCCCTAGAAGAATAGCACTGTGTATCAGACACCAATGAATGTGCAGCAAGTTAAGAATCGAGTGGATAACATCGAGCCAATGGTCTGTATGTGCAACAGGCAGACTCCCAAGGCAGCTTGCCCCCGCTATTGTGGCAGCATTAATTTACGTTGGGGAGACACACCCCACCACCTCACCGTCCCGCCAACCCTAGGGTTGCCACCTGTCCTGTTTAATACAGGATTGCCCTGCATTTCAATGTCAAATGCTATGTCCTGTATTGACACAGTCTTGTCATGTACTCCAGGTCTCCTCTCTCTCTCTGCCAAGTTAGGGGTCCTCTCCAAATGCATGTGTTTGAAAGGGTGTGTGAAAGGTCATGCATTTAAACTCTGGGTACCCAAGCGCAGGCAGATGTACAACTTTGTGTGTTTGTGCGCGTGTGAGTGCCCCTGTGACAAATTCCAGATGGGCCATCCTGTTAGGCTGCAATAGATTGTTAGGGATTGCTTTGGAGTCACTTCAGCACCAGATTAAAAAGAAGAAGAAAAGTCGCCCAACTGTCCTGCCCTGTACATATTTTGCCAGGAAAAATGGAACGCGAAGGTCAGCTGCACTGCGCCTCCACGTGCCGACGCCCCCGCTGCTGCAGAGGCAAGAGAAAGAAGCGCCCGCCAAGGACTAGAGGAGGAGGAGGAGCAGGCGGGAAATGCGGAGCCTGACGACCTTGACTCCCAGAGCCTCGTCGGCGCTGGCTGTAGCATAGCAGCCCAAGGGGGGGCTAAGGGAAAAAGTTCCATCGCCCGCTGGGACCAGTTAAGAAGCAGGAGCCACATGGACTTGTGCCATGCGCGGCATAAAACACCTCCCCAGGCTTCTATGTTAATGAAAACAACGTCGACCATTATTTCATTATTTGTACCCCGCCCCCCCCCCCCATCTGACTGGGTTGCTCCAGCCACTCTGGGCGACTGCGCATATATATGCCTGTCTTCTCTTTAACTCAGCCCGTGTTTTAAAAAAAATTAACATGGTCCACATATGAATTAAAGAGAAGACAGACAGACAGACAGACAGATAGATAGACCATGTTATTTTTTTTAATTTTAAACACGGGCTGAAATAAAGAGAAGAAAGGCGGCGTCTGTGAAGCCGCGCGAAAATAGGTTCGTCGAGGTGGCCTGAGGCGGAGTTTCTTCTACTTGAGCAATTAAAGCGTAAAGAACCGGAGGCGAGAACAAAACGCCTTCTCTTTCTCCCGGCTCCTTTATTTATTATTATTTACTTGAGGGAGCCCTGCATACAGAACCGGGACGTGGGGTGTGGGGGGTACGGGGGACGCCAGAGCTCCCTTTCCCTTCTCCTCGCGCCCCTGCAACTCAGGGAAGGCGAAGGCGGCGTGAGGAGAAAAACGGCAGTTGGGCTGGAGGGAGGGGGCGGGGAAGGTAACTAACGCGCGCGCGCGCGCAACACACACACGAGAGAGAGAAACTGGTCCCCGCGTGCCGTCCACCCTCAGCAACGCGCTCTTTCCATTCTGGGCCCGCCCCCCTTTTTCCATTGGTGCCCTTCGGGGCAGCCTTGGAGACAGACTAGTAGTTTGGGGGCTGTGCGATGTGACGCGGTTCGGCGGGGGGGGGGGTTGTTTGGAATATCCCTCCCGCCGCCATCCCGATGTCCTCACCTGAGCCAGACGCCGCTGCTTCTTCTTCTGCTGCCTCCGCCTCCTCCGCCGCTGTTATTGCTTTACTTCCTTCCCATTGAGAAAGGAGCAGGGGGCGCTGCAGCCGCGGCCACGCCCCCTCCGCCACCCTTGACCCCCTCAAGCCTCTTCCCCGCCTACGCTGCTTTGCCTCACAGTACACCTATTGTAGGCTCCGTAGAGAGATAAAGGGCTAGACGGGGAATTTTATTGCCTGGAGAAAGAACTTCCGGGTTTCCTTGGATGCTATTTTCCTTTCCCACCCGCGCTCCGGGGCAAACGTGATACATCCAGGGCTTTCAGCGCAGCTATGATTGGGTAGCAGAGCATCGTCTCTCTCTCCCCGCCCACCCCTTCCCAGCAGAAGCAAGAGAGGGAGTCCCTCCCCCTTAAACCACGCACCTTAATGCTCGTGAACAAAGCAACGTGTTGCAAATGACAAATGCAACTTACATTTTTATCCCCGTGTTGCATGCTGAAGAGGATGTGGTTAGGAGAGAGCTGCTGACGACAGTCCAGCAGAGTCGCCAGGTCTTTGCACTGCGCTGTCAATCGAGAAAGGAGTGTGGATTATATAGGTCACTATAATTACTCCCTACATCGCAGTTAAAAGGCGAGCGTGACTCGCCCGCTAATCCTATAGCATAGACATTTACTTGGAAGTTAGTCGCAGGGTTTCCAACGGGGCTTGCTCCCTTGTAAGGGTGCTCCGTTGTCCATATGACTGACGAGTTTGCAACAACCTGCAACGTTCTCTAGTGTTGGTCTAGCACTGATGGGAGAGGGGTGCTTGAGAGAGGGCACTTCGTAACAAATCTGAAATGAAGCTACGTGTTAATGTGTCCTTCGAAGTATATATTGTTGCCAACATTTTGTATACCAGGGCTCCTAAGCAGCTCGTTGAAAGGCTGCAGTTGACTTTTCTCTTGCTCCCTACCTCCCCCCGTCACTGTCCGTTGTGGAGCTATTCTGAATTTCTAGAATAATAATGATGATAATGATAATGATAATGATAATAATAATAATAATAATAATAATAATAATAATATCATCAACAACAACAACTCCATACAAAACAAACCTCAGGTTGCAGGAATCTTATTTCTAGTTAAAGTTCCCACATCGCCGCCAGAACCCGCCCAGCGCTCAGCTCGACGCAGACGGCTCGCTTCTGCGTCTTCATACCAACGCGCTGCCTCTCCACCTCTTTCTCATGAACATAGACATTCCTAGTAGAACAATAAAGTTAGGCGGATGTAGTACTCTTCTTTTCCTATCTCTATGATGCCCGCACGCTTTTCTCCCTTCCTCTTTCGTCACTTCCGTGAGCGCCACATAGGTCTCCAAGTGATTCGGTGCCTCCTTTTGCGCCGCGAAAGGGAAGAATAATTTGAGAGAAGCTCTAGCCCTTCCGTTGGGCGGGAACAATTTCACTGGGCGGAAAAATTGGGGGGGGGGCGAAGCGGCGGCGGCGGTGACGGGGAGGCGTTGGTTCCCAACGAACAGTGGCTTGCTATTACCGGTGAGGCCGTGAGAGGTGCTGTGCGCATGCGCTGAGAAGGGAACCCTGGCGAAGGAATAGCAGGAAGAGGCCAGAATGCTTCTTCCTTGACAGTTTCTTTTATCGGCGGACCGGATTTCCTGGTTGCTGCTGGTGGTTGTATTTTCCCCCTTAACGCCCTGACACTCTGTAATTCGGGTAGTGAAAGGGATAGCTGCTCATCTGGGAGGATGGCAGCCTGGATTGTTGTTTCTTCTTCTTCTTCTTCTTCTTCTTCTTCTTCTTCTTCTTCTTCTTCTTCTTTTCTTTTAATAATAATTCGGTTGCATCGTGTTGCAGCCTGCCCAGAGCAAACTAGGACAGGAGTTGGAAAATATATGGAAAAATATATTTTGCTTTCACCATTTGAGTTTTTAGGATTTCCCTGCTGTAGCAGGGTGGAAAAATGGACTGTCTAATACAGTTTTTTCCATAGTGCTGATGGACAAACTAAGTTATTTTAACGGGAATTGGGGGCAAAGGTTGGAATTGGAAGTATTTTTGATGTTGGAAATATTTTCTTCCCATTGCTGTGCCCCTTTCCCCACATAATCATACTTTAGGATTTTTTGTCTGCCTTATTTATCAGAAAAAGAAAAAAACCATCTCCCTTTCCGTTTACCTCTTGGGACTTTCTCTTACCATCCTCTAAAATTACACCTGCAATCCAGGCAATGAATTTCGACTGAGTGGCTGTATCTTGTGCTTTCAGATGATAGCCCTATGGGCCAACCATTTAGTGTGTTTTCTTAAAAACAAAAACAAAAATCCAACACCATATTGCCGTATTTTGATGTGTTCTATCAGTATTGCAAAGCCTCTGGCAGCCAAATTTAGGTGAATTGAAATATTGGGGGGGGGGTGTATGTATAAATCACAGCACACTTGAGCTGAAATTACATGCACGCTTGAGAAGATGACAAACCTTGCTGAATCAGACCAAAGGTGCACCTCATCCAGTATTCTGCTTCCCACAGCAGCCAACGACATGCTTATAGGAAGCCTTCAAGCAGGACATAAGCACAATAATATTTTTCTGCTTTTATTCACCACTGACCAATATTCAGTCTCATGCTGCCTCTGAGCCTACAAATAGTACATAGCCATCACGGCTTGTAGCTATTAATAGACAATTCATGGAGAATAAGCCTAATCCCCTTTTAAAGCAGTGTAAATTGGAGGTCATCACCACATCTTGTGGTAGAGAATAGTTTTATCAATGTGTTGTGTGAATAAGTACTTTTTATTGAATCTTCTGTCATTCACCTTCATTGATTAATCCCAGGTTCTAATATTATGGGAGAGGGAGAAAAACATCTGTATATCCACACCATGCATAATTTTTCAGCTTTCCCCCAAACTAAAAAGCTCCAGATGCAACCTTCCTTCATAGGAAAGTTCTTCCAGCCCCTTGATAATTTCTGCTGCTCTTTCTTTCTTTCTGCACCTTTTCCAGCACTACAGTATCCTTTTCTGCACACTTTACATTAGTGTAAAGGCATGACAAAACTGGCAGGTGTTTTTTTTAACCCCTTTCCTAGTAATTCCTAACATGGAATTCCCTATTTTTTCCCACAGCTTGTTTGTGACAATTCTATGGGCCACATATCACTTTCTCTCTGCCTTGAAGATTGCAGCTTTGTATTTTTGTGCATTTGTGGGAGGTGGTCTGGCAAGCAGCTGTTGCTCAGTCTGGTCCTGGAAACCCTGGTTTGGGTGTCAGATTTCAGATAAACTAGAAAAAACCCTGATAGGTTTAAGATTTAAATAACTTGCTCTTCCTTCATTCCTCTCTTTCTTAGCTCTCTGAATGTCGCAGCTTCTACCACTCTTCCCCCCATTACCAGGCAGCTGCTCTTGGTTCATTGCTTCATCTCTCTGTCTAACCATGGTACTCTAACTCTTCCTCCTGTCTTTGCAAATTTCCTCTTATTTTACTTCATCAATAAAACATCCTTTTCCTGAAAAAGTTCCATCTTCATCCCTATTTCCCTGTCCCAGCTACTTTGCAAAGACACTCCATTACTTAGACCAGGGATGGGGGACCTGTGGCCTTCAAGATCTTGATAAACTTCAGCTCCCATTGTCTCTGACCATTGACCGTGCTTGGACATCTCTACCAGACTGATAGCAGCCTGATCCTAGCAGTATAGAGCCACACCGCAGAGAGAAGTTAATCTTTTCACACTAGTAATTTGAATTTCAGAATACCTTATATCCAGAACATGGTGAAGTAGGTTTCTGATGTATGTAGCAGTGTATCCACCATCTTGTCTGATTTGTCCCTGAGTTTTAGATACACCAGTTTGCAGCCTTAAGCTGCAATTCCACTCATACAATAAGCCTTTGAATTCAGCTGATTGAACTTTGGAATATATACGCACAGGGTAGTTTGAAAGTCTGCCATTTGGGAGGTTAGGTTGAAGGCTGCAGTTACAGTATGTAAAGTGCTGTTGATTGATTGCTTTGATTATATTTGCTTTCCCATATAAAGCAGCTGTTGCTGAATTTAGTGTTTTCTTTTCCTGTCCAATTGAAATAGGCTCAATTTTAGCTCATATAAGTTCTCTCCCATTATTTATTAATAGTGCTGCAGCTGCTCCCTCATTGCTGTCTTTAAAAAACTGTTATGCTAAGAGCTAAAACATAAATTAACAAACTGGATTATAAAATGAGATTTAATATGTTACATGTAAAATGTGATGCGTATAGTATGGATATTTCAAATAGTGTGTGGAAGTGCTATTACTGTAGAAATAGTACGTGTGAAACAGAAAATAAGGAAAAGCAGAATTAAAATTAACCAATTATCACCTTTCAAATAAATCCCAAAGAAGTTTCAGAAATGGGGCAGGTACAGGAAATTGAGTCTATTTAAAATCTGCTTAGCCACTGATAGTCGTAGTTTGCATTATATGCATTTACTTCATTTTAGTCCTGAACCCCCTCCCTAAGTTATTAATTATCAAAGGTTCTTTACAATTATTGGAGTAAGATCTATTCTATTAATATCTATCCTGTTAATTTGTATACAGGAAGTTGAAGGGTTTGCAAGTAGAGAAACCTTAATTAGTGGGAAACGCAACCAAGAACAATAAAATTAACTATTCCCTCAACCCCCAATCCCCCCTCACTTTCTAGTTGCCTTGGGGCTTTTTAAAAAACCCAAAGATGACCAGGCAAGTGACTTTTTGTATTTGTTTCACTTTAAACAGCAATGGTCCGTAATGGCAAAAATGGTGGACTCCATCTGAAACAGATCTCTTACTACAAACAAACAGGTGGATATCATCCCACAACATTAGCAAGTGAAAGAAGCGGAATAAGAAGAGCAGCTAAAAAGTTTGTTTTCAGAGGTAAAGATAATGGTCTTGGGAGTTCGGTGTTCTTTGTGCGGTGGCTTTATATCTGTGAAGGCTGAGACCAAACAATATTGGGCTGGGTTGTTGCTTATCAAATGTGAAATGGGATTTGCATCATCATACATAAAAAGAACACAATGAACATAATTTTCTTCTAAGAAATCTAAATACTGCACACAAGATTATATAAATCAGGAATATTACATATTTATGTATGTTTATGCCATTCTTCTTCATGTATAATTTGAAATTTTTGGTGGCAAGTCTAGTGTTACCAAGAATAAAATCTGGAGGGCCGCAGGTTCCCCACCCATGTCTTCTGAGGAACGGAGGGTGTTCCATTTTGGCAGTATCTTGGAAATCTCTAGGGAAATTTGCTTGGTGCCTGCTTTGCTGACACTTCAGCAACAGCCTTTTTATTTCCTTAGCCATTTGAACTTTTTAAGTTACCAAGGACAGTATTTATTTCTGCTGTGTTCCATTTCAATTTCTGGTGCTGGATTTGATGCAGTTCCATTTGCCAGTGCTTCATCTATTTTGTCTTTATTTTATTAATGGGATAGTACTTTATTCTTCTCTTAAGCTGCCCTGGGAACACAATAGGGTTGAAAGTGGGGGATATAAATTTAGCAAATAAAATAAATGGTAGCTTGTGTCTGCCTATTCTGAAATACAATTCCCTGTCATGCTAACTTTACATTTGTATTCTTGGCAAACAAAAGCTGATATTTTCTAAAATTTTACCCATGCAAAATCCCTCAAAAATATTCTTGCTGGCCACATTAACCACCAACATCATTCTTTTAGAATAGAACTGGTGTGCTAAGAAGTAGTTATGAATAAAATTTGAACCAATATACAATAAATATACAATAAATGGTATGAAATTACACAATTTATCTGAATGCTTTCTTTTAGATAACAATCTGTTCTATGTGGGAAAAGACAAGAGGCAAATGCGCCTGGTGATTCTTTCTGATGAAGAGAAAAGGAAAGTGTTAGAAAAGTGCCATGAAAATCATGCAGGTGCACATCATGGCATATCAAGGACACTGACCCTGGTGGAATCTCAATATTATTGGACTTCAGTAACCAGCGATGTAAAACAGTGGGTATGGGTCACATTGTGTTTCTCTCTCTGTGTGTGAATAAACTCTTGATCATTCTTTAAAGTCCTCCTTGGATGATATGGCACTCATGGGATGTGGGTGGCGTTGTGGTTTAAACCACTGAAGGCTTGTCGATTAGAAGGTCGGTGGTTTGAATCCCCATGATGGGGTGAGCTCCCGTTGCTCTGTCCCAGTTCCTGCCAACCTAGCAGTTTGAAAGCATGCCAATGCAAGTAGATAAGTAGGTACCGCTGCGGCGGGA